TTGTATTCGGTTTCCAAGTATTTTGTTGAGTATTTTAGCAACAATGTTGATAAGGGAGTTTGGCCTGAAATTCTCTTTCTTTGTTGGGTCTTTGTGTGGTTTAGGTACCAAGGTGACTGTGGCTTCATAGAATGAGTTTGGTAATGTTCCTTCTGTTTCTATTTCGTGGAATAGTTTGAAGAGAACTAGAGTTAGCTCTTCTTTGAAGGTCTGGTAGAATTCTGCACTGAAACCATCTGGTCCTGGGCTTTTTTTGGATGGGAGACTTTCGATGACTGCTTCTATTTCCTTCTGGGATATAGAATTTTTTAATTGATTTACCTGGTCTTCATTCAGCTTTGGTAAGTGGAATCAATCAAGAAAATTGGCCATTTCACTTAGATTTTCAAATTTTGTGGCATACAGACTTTTGAAGTAAGTCCTAATGATTGTTTGGATTTCCTCAGTGTCTATGGTTATGTCCCCCTTTTCATTTCTGATTTTGTTGATTTGGATGGTTTCTCTGTGCCTTTTAGTTAGCTTGGCTAAGGGTTTGTCTATCTTGTTGATTTTCTCAAAGAACCAGATCTTGGTTTCATTGATTCTTTGAATTGTTTTATTTGTTTCTAATTGATTGATTTCAGCCCTGAGTTTGATTATTTCCAGCCGTCTACTCCTTTTTGGTGTGTCTGCTTCTTCTTTTTCTAGAGTTTTTAGGTGAGCCATTAAGTTGCTTGAATGAGCTGTCTCGAATTTTTTCTTGAAGGCACTTAGTGCTATGACCTTTCCTCTTAGCACTGCTTTCATTGTCTCCCACAAGTTTGGGTATGTTGTGTCTTCATTTTCATTGATTTCTAGAAAGACTTTAATTTCTTTCTTTATTTCTTCTCTGACCCAGCTGTCATTTAGTAACAAGTTGTTCAGTTTCCATGAGTGTGTAGGCTTTTTGCTGTTTCTGTTGTTGTTGAGGTCCAGCTTTATTTCATGGTGATCAGATAGGATACAAGGGATTATTTCAATCCTCTTGTATCTGTTGAGGCTTGCTTTGTGACCAACCATATGGTCTATTATGGAGAAGGTTCCATGAAGTGCTGAGAAGAGGGTAAATTCTTTGTGTTTGCGTGTAAAGTCCTGTAAATGTCTGTTAGGTCTATTTGATTCATGACCTCTGTTAGAGACATTGTTTCTTTGTTTAATTTCTGTTTTGTTGACCTGTCCTTTGTTGAAAGTGGGGTGTTGAAGTCTCTCACTATTACTGTGTGGGGATCTATGTGTGGTTTAAGTTTTATCAATGTTTTTTTTTTTTTTTTACAAATGTGGTTGCTCTTGCATTTGGGGCATAGATGTTTAGGATTGTGATGTCTTCCTGGTGGAATTTTCCCTTGATGAGTATGAAGTGTCCTTCCACATCTCTTTTTATTAATTTTGGTTGAAAGTTTATTTTTATCAGATATTAGTATAGCTACTCCTGCTTGCTCCTTGGGTCCATTTGGTTGGAAAGCTGTCTTCCAACTTTTTACCCTCAGGTAGTGGCTATCTTTCTGGCTTAGGTGTGTTTCTTGTCTTCAACTTATTGCTGGGTTTTGTTTACAATCCATTCTGTTAGTCTGCGTCTTTTTATTGGAGAATTGAGTCCATTGATGTTGAGAGAGATTAATGACCACTGGCTGTTAGATACTTTAATTTTGACGTTGGCTGTGGTCGTAAGGTTGTGTGCTTGATTGCTTTTTGTTTTACTGTAGTGAGGTTAATTATTTCCTGTGTTTTCTTGAAAGTAGGTAGTTTTCTTGGGTTGTATTTTCCCTTCTAGTGTCTTCTGTAACATTGGATTTGTGTGTAGATATTGTTGAAATTTGTTTTTGTCACTGAATATCTTGTTTTCTCCCTCTATGAAGACTGAGAGTTTTGCTGAATATAGTAGCCTGGGCTGACATCTGTGTTCTCTTAGTGCCTGCATGATATTCGTCCAGGCACTTCTGGCTTTCATGGTCTCTGTTGGGAAGTCAGGTGTGATTCTGATGGGTTTGCCATTATATGTTACCTGGCCTTCTTCCCGTGCACCTTTTAGTATTTGTTCTTTGTTCTGTATACTTATTGTTTTGATTATTATGTGGTGGGAGGATTTTTTTTCTGGTCTAATTCATTGGGTGTTCTGTAGACCTCTTGTATTCTTATTGGCCTCCCCTTTGATGTGGGGAAATTTTCTTCAATGATTTTGTTGAAAATATTTTCTGGGCCTTGGAGGAGGGAATCTTCTTTTTCCTCTATTCCTATTATTCTTAGGTTTTGTTTTTTTATGTTGTCTTGAATTTCTTGGACAGTCTGTGTCAGGAATTTTTAGATTTATTATTTTCTTTGACGGATACATTGATTTCTTCCATTGTATCTTCCACACCTGAGATCCTTTCTTCCATCTCTTGTAGTCTATTGGTTATACTTACCTCTGTATTTCCTATTTTCTTCTGTAAGTCCTTTCTCTCCACAATTTCCTCCATTTTGTTTTCTTTAATTGTTCTAATTCTATCTTCAGATCTTGAGCCATTTTGTTGATTTCCTTCATCTATCTGACTGTATTTTCCTGTTTTTCCTTCAAGTCCTTTAGCTCTTTGTTTGAACAATCCTCTGTTTCTTTTATTTCTTTCATTGATTTAATTATATCCTCTCTAAAAGCCACAAACTGTTTGGCTGCAAATTCCTGTATTTTTTTAAGGATGGCCATAATCTGTTTTTACTTTATCTTCTTCTATTTCTTTACGGATGGCCATAATCTGTTTGTTTTTATCTTCCTTTATTTCTTTATGGATAGCCATAATCTGTTTGAGTTTATCTTCCTCTAGGTCTTTACACATTTTATTTTTTTCCTCTGTTATCCTCTTCATGAGCATAGATGTTAGGTCATCTTCTTGAATTTCAATTTTGCTGGGGTGTCCAGGGCTACTTGCCTCTGGATAACTATGTTCTTGAGATGCCATATTACTCTGTCTTTTGTTGGTTGATCTTTTACAATGGCTTCTACCCATTGGGCTATCTTAGGTGTTTGGAGTTAGTTTCTGGTCGTTCCTGGAATCCTGTGGTGGAGAGAATCCCTTTGGCAGGGAGATATTTTTTTCTGAAAGAAGCCTCCTCAGCTTTTTGGGTATGGTCACTGTATGGTCGGTGTTTTTCAGGAGTTGCCACAGCTCACCTCAGGCATATAGACCTGAGTGGTAGCTGTGGTCCTTGTTAGTTGAGAGAGCTCTCCTCTCACCCAGAAAAGTCCTGGAGATAGCTGCCCTGCTTCTGGGTTTCTTGTTGTAGATTTAGTGATCTGCTGCTGTAACCTGTGTGTCTTGTGGTTTGGTCAGTTTTGTTAGGAATGACTGGTTGCCTTTTGGAGCAGTATCTGGAGGTTGATCTCGGGGATTCCAGGCTTATGTAGGTTAGAGGTTGGGGCTCTGTCCCAGTACCCCAAGCGGTAATCTATGGCGGGCGGTACTGCTCTCCTGGTAGCAGCAGGCTAGCGGGTGCACAGCAGGTTCCTGGGTTGAACCGGTCAGCATGACCTTTTCCAGGGATATTCTGTCCATCCCCTTTGCTTTCTTCTCTGTGGGAATTTCTGCCGACAAGGACTCCCTGTCTCTGTTGCCCTGGGGTGCACAGCTCTGTCTGTGATGGAGAGCTGGGCCAGTAGCATGTGATAGAGAGCTGGGCGAGTAGCAGGTCTCTTTGCTCATGGCTGAAGCCCAGTTCAGTGATGGCCGCTTGCACCTGGCAGTCTGCGAGACCTTTTCCAGGGAAAGGAAAAGGTCCGTCCCATTTCCTTCCTTCCCTGTGGGTTTTTCTCACGACTGGGACTCCCAGTCTCTGGTGTTTTTGTGCCCACCATTCAGCCTGGGAAGGTGATCAGGACACACAGGCCTGTGGCTCTGGTCTGGTAACCTAGTGCCTACACGACCCGGGATCTCTTCTGGGTTCTGGCTGGGTGACCTGAGAGTGGACCCGACTGATTCCCATGCCGTGGTGGTTTCCTCTCACCTGGGAAACATGATCGCTGTTGTTTTAGGGCCCAGAGTTCAGTCTCTTGGTCGCTGTAAGGAAATCGTTGTCCTGCTCCTCAGACGCAGTGTTCTCCTGGCACTGCCATCTTGTGTCCCTGTATACATTTTTCTTACACTTTGATTTGAGATGCTATAATAGACATTATTGGGATCCTATTGTTAACACTTAAAGGTCTTTCGATCGTTTTCATTCAACTCATTTGCTTTTTATACCACTGTTTCACACTGCTTCAAAAAACGTTTCTCCATTGTTCTCAGCTAATTTATCATCATTTCACTTGTCAACCCAGTACCAGGACACCTAACACCTGTGCTAGGCAGCAGATGTCCTGATTTGATTAAGTCAAGGTCCTTTCCTTTCATATCCTCACTTGAGTGCAATCAGAGGTCAGTATCCCGATGGCGCATCCTACTTCACTCTTGGTGAAGGGTAAATACACACTTGAAAAGTTTTCGAGTCATATTCATAATCGTTATTTTCTCAGATCTTACACATGCAAATTGTACCATTTATTTTTTAAGTCCCTGGCCTCGTAGGGGTTCCTACTGAAATTACAGTGTTATGTACCTGAAATCCCTCATTTAATGAGCAATAGCTTCTAAACTAACTGATCTTCTTTACTATATATACTGTGATCTGATGGCCTGTAACCTATGTGCATGTTTATGTTTGGGGTGTTATATGTAGAAAACTTTGCATTTTGACAGGTACTATTTTCAAAAATGGTCAGATAAATCGTGAATTATATTTTTTATTAATCTTTGTTTTATTTGTATTTTACATTGTGTACAGTAATCCTTTATTTTATCTATAATCAGACAGTGTTTATTTTATTCAATTTTCACTTGGATAATATATTGTCTACTAAACTTCCTAAACATATTTGTATGTGTATATACATATATATTATATGAAATATATACATATATATTACATGAAATAGACTTGTTTGATTTTAATTTTTTTTAATATAATTGTTTCAGTGTCCTGTATGGAAATAAAATCACAGAACTCCCAAAAAGTTTATTCGAAGGATTGTTTTCCTTACAGCTACTGTAAGTATTTGATAACTCTGGATCTTTGGGACCTAATATTATTGTACTTTTTTAAATGCATCATCTGTTAGTTATCTGGAATCTTCAACCCAAAATGACACAGCTTAATGAAACAAAAATGATACATGTAGCACTGCTAACATCGATAATAGCTTGTATGTGGAGATACAACTCTTTAGAACTGTTCAAGAATGTTTCTCTCCACATTAGAGTGGATGATTGTGTTCCATTGCCCCACTGTGGAGAGGTTTTGTAGTGATGTGCACCCCATAAAGGATCTCTGTTATGATGTTACCAGTGTCTGGGATGGAGTTAGAGAAATGGGATGCATTCACCCTCCCCTTATCACAGAAAATCTAAAAGCAAAAATTCCAGATCGCTTCTGCAAACACAGTCTTGGGGCACAGTGAAAATGCCCTGGGTGAAATCTTCTGATTAACCCATATTGGGTTGTCTGTGACTCCCTCCATTGTATTAAATTCCTCTCTGCCTCGACTGTAGCTGCGCCTCGTTTGTACTGAAAGAAAATTTCACTGTATAGGACTAGATTTGATCCCATTTATCTTGATGCCTGACCATTTTCAAAGTAAGTTTGTCCAGGGAATGGGAAGGCAATCTGAGAGTTGAATTTAGTCTGCAGCATCCATTACATAGTAACCTCATTTGTGGCAGGCCCTGATCTGGAAGTTTTGCATAGGGAGATAAGCATACTGTGATGCCTTCCCTTGCCCTTTCCCACACCAGTCTCTCTTACAATTCTTAAATTCAGAATACGGTTTTCCTCTTTTAATTGTATTCATTGATTAGCATTTTGTGATTAAAAACTTATTAGTAACCCTACAATCTTCCTTATTGCAGGTATTATTTCTTTCTTGTGAACCTTACTGCCACTATTACATTCATACCTTCATTCATACATTCAGACATTATCCTCATATTTAAACCCTTTTCACCCTTCTACACAATTGTAGTTTCAACAATCATATCTAGATACAAGCACACAAAAAGACCAATGTGAAAACAACAACAAGAACAAAAACCTTACTGTGTGTATCATTCACCTCTCTAATCTACTTCATTAGTGAGTGATGATGCATACTGCTTTTGTGAGCTAATGTTTTTGAAAAGGTTCTAACTCTGAAATTGATGAATCAGCGTTGTTTTTATTTGATAAAATGATCCTATATACATCATAGGTAACTTTGCACATTATACAGTGTGAGCCTATGGTCAAAGTAGTTACAACGTCGCCGACACCCTCATTTTCCAAGAATACTCTCCATACCTACTATCCTCAACTGTTCTTACCATCATTTTTTTCTCTTTGACACCAACATTCAAAGTGTACTTATTCGTGGTGACTGTAATACATATGTGAGGAAAGCACAGGGATCTGAAAAAAAAAAAAAACCTAATTCATAAAGCCACTGTTTTTAATAGACCATCTCCCAACTCTCAAAGACAACCTGTCCTTCAGCCACATAAAAATACATATTATGTTATTTCAATCCTTTTACAAATAGCTAAGATTATTATGAAACAAAACATTTTAGCTTTGTTTGTATAGATAGTTAGTAGGAGAAAGTTCATTAATGGAAAAAAACAAGAAAAATGACTGCTGATGTATCTCTATTCTTAAATATATATTAGTGTGTGTATATATATATATATAATTTTAGAAAATAGACTTGAAATATAGTGATTTGAAAAAAAAAAAAAAACAAAACTAGGGATTGGAAAGTAGTCGAGAGAACCTGAAAATTCATGAGGCAGTGTATGGTAGAAAAGGAAATTGTTTGTGTTTAGCAAAATCCAGAAAACCAATGTGACTAGCAAGTCATACATCTGGGAGAAAATTCTGAATAGAGGGAAAGATAATCTGATCTAAATAGAAAATAGCAAGGTGTGAAATGGAATAGCCACAGGCTGAGGCTGTGGAGTCTCATGAGTGTGCCATAGACCTCGTGGGCTTTCTGAAGGATGTTGATTGACTAGACTTTTACTCTGATCAGAGCTATTGTGTGGTCCTAAGAGGTCATGATCCTATATCTCTTATAATGACCACTCTGGATGCTCTTCTAGAGACCGAACTTCTGTGAAGTGGCTGGAGACACTAATGTTTGGGTTGTTTTAATTTGTTCTTGACAACAGATACTGAACCTTCCCTACCTTTGTCTATGGTTTTACTTTAATGTAATCCTTTATATTATTTTTATCTTTTTAATTGAATGCATTTATGAATACCACTGGATTTCAGTTGAGTTGACCATATGACTTTTGCTTTTTCATGTAATCCATTCAGAATGCCTATGTTATTATTAAATTCATAAAGTTGGTGTTGGGATTAAATGCATTTCTCTTGCGTTTCCTATAGAAGGGCTCTATTACACATAACTTAATGAGATGCTACACCTTAACTTTACGACTGTTTGATCAAACAGATTATTGAATGCCAACAAGATAAACTGCCTTCGGGTAGATGCTTTTCAGGACCTGCACAACTTGAACCTTCTGTCTTTATATGACAATAAGCTCCAGACCGTTGCCAAGGGCACCTTCTCAGCTCTCAGAGCCATCCAAACTATGTATGTATGCAAAAGTTGGACCGAGTATAATAACGATTACTTTCACTGTGAATGTGAGAGCCGAGTCCCATGCAAGCAGTGTGTAAAACTCTTCTACTGTGTTTCTGAAAGGCATTTGGCCCAGAACCCTTTCATTTGTGACTGCCATCTCAAGTGGCTAGCGGATTATCTCCACACCAACCCAATTGAGACCAGCGGGGCCCGTTGCACCAGCCCCCGCCGCCTGGCGAACAAAAGAATTGGACAGATCAAAAGCAAGAAATTCCGTTGTTCAGGTAATTTCTCACTTCATGAGACATTTCCCCTAGGACTGAAAGCTACAGTTAGATGAGAATTAGCAATAGCAGCTGCCCTCCTCTGATTACCGAGCATCGGTCCAGTCTCATTGCGTTTACTTCTGTCTGGGTAGGGGGAAAGCAGGAGAAATAGAGAAACAACCCCAATAGTTTATCCAGCAAAATGAATATCCGTCAAATGAAGAGGATGCCTGGATCCTTTCAGAGGATTCAGATGTAACCAGGACCTTTCAGATGGCATGAAATACTCTTCAAAAGTGGTGCTACTCCTGCTTGGTCGCTATTCACCAACATCAAATAGTTAGCCATGCTTTTATTTACTCACAAACTGAAATAAGACTCGATCACATTTTTTTTTTTTTTTTTATCAACCAAAGAGAAGTATGGGGTAGAAGGCTCATGATGTCTCTTCTCTTTCTGAAATACCTGTGAAGACACAATTTGTTTGTGACTTTCTTTTTGCATTTGGAAAACAGTTCTTTTATTCACAAAAAGGATTGTATTGCTGTTAACTAGGAAGCTTACTCCGTTGTTCAGATTGGTCTATTGTTATATGTGTTCTGATGGTAGGAAATATTGACTATCATTAGGGGAGTATGCTACCTAACTCTTCTGAGCACATTTTGCATTGTGCAGTTAATTCATGCTAAACGTCTAATACGGAAACAAGATTTGTTATTGTCCATCTTTATAATGAGTTTATCACGCACTGTGTGTTGTTTACTTCTATGTGTATGCATTGCCACTTAGTTATCTGTAGTAACTTTAGTCCATTCTTAATCTAACATTACTCGTATCTCTGCTTGATGACATTCAGGTACAGCTATTTTTTTTCTCTCTCTTTTTTATTTAGCAAAAGAACAGTATTTCATTCCAGGTAGGTTTTGCTCGGTGGTAGGACTAACTGCAGATACCCTTTTCTTGACTTAGCTTCTAAACACTGACGTGCATGCTTTGGGAAGAACGTAAACACTCCATAGATAGAATAACTTTTGCATAGACCACTTGTAGCTGTATCCCAAAAACCCCACCTCTGCATGCAGCTTCTGATATCGAACCTCTTTATTAAACAACCACAAAAAAAAATAAACCACCTTTTTCGCCCTTTCCTTTTCGCACAATAACTGCAGTCTCGCACAGTAGCAAACCTATTTGAATGTATGGCTTTCAACTTAAGTCATGTTTTTCTCTCTCTATGTTGAATATCTAATCTTTCAGCCTGTTTTTAAAATATAGCTTACGAGGCTAGTTTTAAAGACAGCAGCCTCTCTATTGTCAAAGAGCTAGTTCTATGTAATATCAGGTATAAACATGCAGAACTGCGTTTTCAAAAACAACAAAATTCCTTATTTTTTAAAGCTTCTTGCTTTGAAAAGAATACTTTTTGCTTACTTTTATAATTTTTAATGTAAGACAGCTGCTTCATACTGCTTTAGATGCACTTGTGGTTTTTTATTAATTTATTTTCAATTGTACATTCTTGGCTGTCTGGAGTCAGATTATTACTCTACAAATGGAATATTCACATCCATCATGAAGTCATTAGCAGTTAATGGGCACTAAAGTCCTTGAGTAATCTAAGCTGAAGGAGAACATGTTTCTAAAGATGCAATTGTAATGTTTTATTTCTTTACTTACATCGAACACCTTCAAACTGATAAATGTAGAGCTAGCTCTTTAACATGTGTCCCCTACTTAGTTCTTGTGTAAGTGCCTCTTGACTTGTTTGCTTAAGTCACCATATATTAAAATATATATAGTATTGATTTTAATAATTTATTTATCCTACATTCTTATCATTTAATTAGTTGTATATACTTAATAGATTTAAGTATATTGCTTATTTTTAGTTTTAATGCTCAACTAATCATCTACATATTATTCCTGTGTGTACAAGCAGTAATGTGTTGGAAAGAGCAATTGGTTGGTCTTTATAGTCACTGTATAACTTTTGTTATTTTTATCCAGTTAAGTGCAAAGTTATCTAATAATTATGACTAGCTGAAAAAAGAAGCCCTTTGAAAACCAGAGTATGCACAGACTAACATACCAATATTATTTAAATTCTAAAATTGTGGCAATTCATCAAATCATTACCAAATTATTCAATTCAGTTTATTAATAATTTAGATACAAAATCCCAGTAAAACTCAATGCATTACCAAAAAAAAAAAAAAAAAAAAAAAAAAAAAAAAAAAGAGCTGTAGTTGTAATAGTGGTTAAGTTTTCTGCTCTTGCTGAAAGACAGGAGCCAAGATAGGTTTTAAAAAATAACTTCTGTATCAAAGAGCATGTCTCACTTTTTAAGCTTTGATATTCCAATTTACATTTTAAATTTACTTGTAGCAGCCATAGCACATTGATTGCTTGTTCCTCAATTTGCTCTTTTTTTTCCACCGCAAATACTAGTTATGATTTGTGTCTACCTAATAAGCAGTTTTAAAAATAGCCATTGTTGATTGCTATGGTATTAATTATACATTTGATATGCACTCAATGAACCTATTGTCGATACTGTTCTCAGAAAAATGTTACCTTTCTTGTGGCTTAATCTCTGAAGACAGAAAAGAAAAAGATTCGTCAATAAATCAGGTGGCACTTATTGCTGTATTGGAATGTGACCCCTATATAGTATATTTGGCATTTGAAATATTGTTGAAATTCTGATTATGTTCCCACCGAGTGACATGCTTTAAAACTTGAGGGTCATTTAGAAGCAGATGACCTACCCCCTAACTATTAATCCATAACTTCTATCGATAGTCCTTGCAATGTTCCATTATTGGCTTTTCATTCATTTTATATGTATATTCATCTATTGCTATTTGGTATGGCATTCTAAACATCCTGGTGATAATGCAATAGAAAAATCTGCCTCAAATCCATTAAAAAAATCCACAAGCATTCTTAATGCCATTGCATTGCCTGTAAGCCATTATACTTCATATGTGCTAAACTCTTCAAATTTCATTATTTATCTTATTTATTTCTTTATTATTTGCGAAACGTGACAAATGCACCGCACAGTGCTACCCTGATCGCCCTGGTAAAGAAACAAGGAAGAGAACATAGTTTGATATAGATGTATCTATTCACCTTAACTGGGATGATTCTGTCTTTCTTTCCTCCTTGGTGATCTTTTCTTTTTCAGGAATTCACCACTTGGCCTGTAAGTAAAAGTGTCTCATCTGAAATGTAACACTCCCTCTTTTCAATCCCTGATGTATCTTCTTCTAGTCTTGATGTTTTGCGCCTATTTTCCATGAAGAAACCGCAGACTTCTTGAGCTTCTCTGTTGTCCTTGTAGCTTACCTTCAACTTCTTCCCGGATGTTCTTCCCGAACGCTGTGGTTTCCACTCTGCAATCCCGAGGGACATGGGAGGCGCCTTTCCATATAGCCCCTTCTTTGTGTTTCCAGGCACCCGAACCCGAACCCTTCAGTAGTTATGCTCTCAGTATGGTCGTACACATTCTGCGGGAAGAATGCATGTCATGTGAACAGTACGATGCTTCCAGACCGTCCGTAGCTTTCCTCCTCCCTTCGTCTTTCCTCTTGGTCTTCCCTCTGGCCTAGTGGTTGGTGTAGTGATAATGTAGCGAGATTTTCTGTTGTGCTTGATCTAACCATGTGGTTGCGAGGTATGAGTAAAACATGGTTCCGTCAAGCACCATGGAACGTCACGCAGCTTTCTACAGCATGGCAAGCTGCTGAGGCTCAAGGCAGGACGTACTTGTCTTTTCTTATAGACTCAAAATGAAAAAAAGAGGGCTTTTGGGACGTTTCTGAAGATTATGTGAGAGGGAGAGAATAACAAAAGTCCGTAGAAAATCTTAAAACCTAAGTATACAGATTTTACTTAAAAGCCCTACTTCATAATAATATACAGGAGTATGTTTATTACCAGATATGCTTTCAATTTTTGACTCAAAAATAAATAAACTTTTTGTTAACAATTCATAGCCATTATGTGATTATCTGTGAAATAGAGTACCATGGCTCAGAATCGGATCAGCAGAAAGTACAGCTGTGAAAAGCTCACCTCTGTTAATGTTTTCCTGTCATGTGAATCTGGTCCCTCTTTTTTCCAGAAAATTCTAAGCCTTTCTTTTAACCCTCACCTGACATCCATTGACCAAAATTCCCTAAGTTGTCTCCCTGCTGCATAATCTCTAGTTATCCTACTACTTTTCTTCCCATATATTAATGGCTATTCTAACATTCAGACTCAGAATCTTATTTTTGGTTTGAATCCTCAATAGGTACAGAAGATTATCGATCAAAATTAAGTGGAGACTGCTTTGCAGACTTGGCTTGTCCTGAAAAGTGCCGCTGTGAAGGGACCACAGTAGACTGCTCCAATCAAAAACTCAACAAAATCCCAGATCATATTCCCCAGTACACAGCAGAGCTGTAAGTTTATCTGACTACAAAACCCCGGCTTCGAGGGAGCAAAGGACAGAGAGAGACTGCATAAAAGCATTGGAAATTTTGTCATGACATTTTAATTTTCAATAATTGAATTAACTTAATGAATACACATTGAATTGAGAGCACCTCTTTCTTGTCCAAGAATATTGTTCAATGCAATCTTAGTTGACTTTTTTCAGGTAGAGCAACAATTAAACAATCAAATTATTTCTCAAAATTAAGTCACCACTTAGTAATGTTAATAATAATGAACTATCTGATTATTATTGGATATTTGCTTTGGCCAAACATTTATAAGCATTTCACAAATTTGCAATGCATTAAATTCTTAAAAACAGCCAAACGAAACAATTTGAGAGTTTGCAAATCTATCAGGGATTGATTTGTTTTTTTTGTTTGAATATTTCTCTGGATCAAAGGAAAGGACTCAGTGATTGCCAGTTATAGAGCAAACAATAGTCCTTTGCTTGTTTATTTGTTTGTAAACAGTGAACAGCATATTAGAGAAAGCTGTAAACTCAGATATGATCAAATTTACATTTTCAAATTTAGCCCAGGATCCAGAGTATGGAAAAATATGCTTTTGGAATTATTTGTAGGTTCTATGCCCATGTGTGGATCACCTTTCCTGCCCATAAAAGGAAGATTTGTAATCTTAGTTTTCTAAGATCCATGAAAACACTAGTGAAATCTAATCATTTTCTGAACATCTTACAAAGTTTGTTTATGGTACCATCTGGTATTTGTCACTTACTACTTTGCAAAGTTCCTTGGCTCTGTGTGTATGCATAATCCTTCTGTCTGCAACTAGATTACAGTCTCTTGATGGCAGGGATTGTGTATTATCATTTCTATCCCACTGTGACTATGCACATGCCTGTTACTTAATGAATTTAAAGCAATTTGAATAATTAGAAATAATGTTTTTCTCATGGTTTTCAGAAACTAACTTCATTGTGGCTCTGGTGATTTTTTTTTTTAACACTCACTAGTTTATGGAATATTTACTAGGTCAAGAACTTTTTAGAAATTCAGAGAACATGTAGCAAGATCCCTCAACTCCAGTCTGTGTGGCTGCAAATGTATTTCTATTTATTTCTGACAGTACTACACACGACTGATATTATATTGAGCATGATAATGAGTTAAGTATGTTTAAAGGTTAAATGGCTTAAGTAACTTTCAAATTTCTACTGGAATCTATCTTCAAACTTAAGATTCAGTAAAAATCCCATTTAAAAAAATTAATATTTTCAAGTCATGTACATAAAATAAATACTTAAGAGAAAATTTTTTGCAGATCAGGCACTCAATAGAGAATTTAGGTTCACAATTTTTAGTAGTCCTTTACTGACGTGGAATTTTTATCCAGAATATATAAAAATCTCTTAGAATTCACCAATATAAAAGTTATATTGCCTAACAAATTTTTCAAATTATCCATAAGAACTTTCTTGTGGGTTTCAAGACACAGTTTCTCTGTGTAGCCTTGGCTGTCCTGGACTCACTTTGTAGACCAGACTGGCCTTGAACTCACAGATACCTACCTGTCTCTTCTTCCCTGAGTGCTGGGATTATAGGTGTGTGCCACCCAACTAATATGAAAACTTTTTAATCAAGGTATATGATTGGCCAATAAGCATATGAAAAAATCATGTTTAATTAGTGATTAGAAAAATGCAGAGCTAATTTTTTTTTTTTTTATGCTGTGGTAAAATACCAGGACCAATGTGACTTTTAGAATAAAGGGTATATTTTGATGTCTGGTTACAGAAGGAGAACACACAAGAGCAGAAAAAGAATGGAACTGTCTGATCACAATTCACAAGCAAACAGGAAGCAGAGATAAAAGAGAACGTGAAAGGCTATAAACTCTCAGTGCTCATTACATGCTTCCAGTAAGGCCAAGACCTCTAAACAATCCAAACTGCACTATCCACTAGGGACCAAATGTTCTAAAACACTAATGAACCCATAGAGAATCTTCTCATTCAAAGCACCACATTACTCATCCAGGTACCCTTAGACTCATTGCTGTCTCATGATTCAAAATACGTTTAATCCAACTTCAAAAGTACCTATGGTCTTTAATCATCTCAACACTGTTAAAAAATCCTAAGTCTCTTCAGAGACTCAAAGTAATGGTAATCCTCAGTAAATTAGAGAGAGAGAGAATAAATTGTATCCAACATATAAAGGAGGAATGGGGGCATACTGAGGAAAGACTGGACTAAAGCAGGATTAAAACCCTACAGGGCAAACATCAAAGCCTGTAACTCTGTGTCTAGTATCTGGGCTTCATTTTCAAAGTACTAGTTAGCTTCCAGCTTTATAGATTTGCTGCCTTTGTTATACATCTCTCGTGGGGCCACATCTACTTCTTGTTTGCAGCTCTTCTTGGCAGACATTTCAGGGTTCTGGCATCACAACATTGCAAATCACCAGTACAACATAGACTTTCGTCCATAGCTGCTCAGACTCCTTACTGGGACTCCAGCTCTCTCACACATTGCCAGACCTTCTCATCTGTGTGATAACACAGACATAATCACTTCTTTGATTCAACACAGGAACAACTCACAATTCCCTTAACCTTATATAATTCATGTCTCCAAAACTGATACCACATTGATGAAAATGTCATATTCAGTTGACAGCTGGGAATGGATTTGCAAACCCTTGGTAAGAGCAGCTTTAAAAATGCTGTTGATTCTAGAGACAGGAAATTCCTTACGGTCTTTTAGTTCTCATATTGAAGTTTAGCTGGATGAAGCTTTGCCCTGAAAATGTCTCTCCTACTCTAATGGAGAGTAAGAACCTTTTCTTTGATGACATTAAGCTCCTTAACATTTCTAGTTTCCTTTGCAGCCCATCTTTGGGAACAATTTTAAGACTTCTAGCATGCTTTTCCTCTCCATGCTGCACATTTCATATTTATTTGTGTACAACTTTCTCTTTATGATGGTAGATCTGCATGAGAGTAATCAGTAATAACCATTCCAGAGACTGAATTTCAGATTGCCTTGAAATCATTTTATCAAAGAACTTCATCCATTGCCTTTTAATGTAGCCTTAGGCAAGTTGGTAGGTTGTGGACAGAATGGAGTCAGATTTTTTGCCAAAGTATCACACAAATGAATGAGCACAAGCTCTGTTACTGAGACGAGTTTTGTTCTCCTCTGAAAACTGATGATGTAGATCTATGATATCTGCATTGCTCTCAGGATTACACCCTTCCAGATTCTTCCTAGGGTTGTTAATTCAGTTTGTTTATAGCAGTCACCTATTTTTCTAGTCCATAGTTTCAAAGTCTTCCAAATATCTCAAAAAAAAAAAAATCAACACTGCTAGGTTCTTCATAACAACAACACAACCTTTAAGCACAAACTTCTGTATAAGTTACTATATCTGTCGCTGTGTTGTTTTTTCTCTCTGTGTTTCACATTTCATGTCTCTTTGTTCACTACTTGCACAAAGTGGGAACACCATGACTAAAAACACCTTATAGAAGAATGAGTTCATTTGGGCTTAGGGTTCCTGAATGCAAGTCCATCATGAAAGGGAAAGCATGGTGATAGAGCAGGAAAGTGGTTGATGGATCACAATTCATAGGCACAAAGAAAATGAGTTGTGTTTCTAAACCTTCAAAAGCCTACCTCAATTGATATACTTCCTCCAGCATGCCTGTACTTCCTCAAGCAGCACCATCAACTGGAGATCAAACACTCAAAGACATGAGCCTATGGGAGAAATTTCTCATTACCACCATTTGAAAAGTCCGGGGGGGGGGGAAGTACAATAATATGTGGAAAAAAAATATTTTGGTAATTTATGTGTAAAATAGTCTAGTCTCAGGAAGACAGTTTGTTCTTCAAAGTAGTGAGCAAATATATCTATCACCTATCAAAACAATCTACTTCTATACATATAGCCAACAAATTTAAGAGGCATGTCTACACAAAAGCATGCATCCCATGTTCTGCACTGCATTTTTCTAGCAGACAAGATGTAGAGTAGCACAACTGTCCACTAACTGATAAATGGCTAAATGTGGGGTGCCCATTCCATCACTCAGTGATATGCAACGAAACCCTGATACCACCATGACATGAGTAAAAATTCAAAACATCTTAAAGAGGTTGCAGAGACAGGTTGGTATGCAAGAGCACCTTTCACACAGTTCCTGCAATGCACTCAAGGTGAATTTCCAGAACTTTGGCCACCTCTCTCACAGCCACCAGTAATCCCGCTTCAGGGGGTCCAATGCCCTCTTCTGGCCCCTTTGGACACCTCCACATGCCCATAAGTAGATACACATCATTGAAAATGAAATAAAATCTTCAGAGCATCTAACCACATGAAACAAAAGACATATTCTGTATGCTTCCCTTTAAGAGAAATTTCCAGAAAAAGAAAACCAGGGTAGTGTGGTTTGAAAGAGGATGATAATGGGAAGTGAGCTGGCTATGGTAATGGTAAGAGGTTATTATTGCCAATGATTGGTATTGATTTTGGAGTGCTTTTGGAGTGTTGAAAATATATTAATTAACAAAGGTGGCTGCACCTGCCTTTGTTTGAGACAGTTGTTTATGTTCTTTCTTGAGACGGAGTTTCTTATAGTGCTCTGATTTCTTGAAGCACCAGGCAGACCACCTTGACTTCAGATTGGCTGTGGTCCTCCGTCTTTGCCTCCTGAGTACTGAGCCTGCATGCATAACTCATTTTGCCTGGCTCGCAATTTTACAAATATACTAAAATTCTGTACTTTAGATGCATTAGAATTTGTATTGTGTATAAACTGATCTGTGAATGACAGTGATGTGAAGCATTACTTATGGGGTAAAAGTGCACTAGGTTGATAATAGTGAGAAAAAAAGGTTTAGAAACTTTGTTATGGAGATTCCTTTATATGAGCTTGCTTTGATTATTCTTTACTTTTCTTAATATTTATATAGATTTAAGAATTTTTGATCTTTTAAATGTTCAATGAAATGATACAAGGTAAGTATTTTAGTGAGTTCTGTGTTATACTTGTGCTATATTTTACCGTTATCATTAAATAATGTTATAACTCAGTGTAACAAATACAAGTTAACCCTTTCCTACCTATAAGGAAACTTTCAACTTTTTGTTTGTTTTATTTCCCTAGGCGTCTTAATAACAATGAATTCACAGTGTTAGAAGCCACCGGAATATTTAAGAAACTTCCTCAGTTACGTAAAATGTAAGTCATTTGTTACCTATATATTGACTTTTTGCAGTATGTAATTCACATGTAAAATTTCTTGTAAATTTTATAACTCTTTCCATTTTATCCAAATCTCCTTTGAAAGAGGAAAATATATAAAAAAAATCAAGGGAAATTTCCAGGTAATGATTACATGGGGCATGAATCAGGGTACTGATAAAGAGGTACTTTTCCATGTGTTTGTACAATGCCAAGCCAACCCTTTGCATCTTCCTCTAAAGCAGACAGCTGGTCTATAATGCGTCTGCAGCAGGAATTCAGCAATCTAAACACATTAAAATGGGTTCAGTGATGTTTCGTAACTTCCTTTACTATTCCCCAAACTGTGGCGCTATTTTTCTTTCAGCACATTCACGTCAACTGCTTGACTTTTGCTCCATTAAGCTTTCATTATGAGATAGTCAAAATTAATGATTAGTAAACTGGCTGGACTGATCATCTGTGTTACTTCATGTCCACAGCTCATATTTCAGAGTAAGTTTGTAAACTCAGCATTTTCAACAACATTCCATCAGAATTCCATGTCCTTGAGAAGAGGAAAGGGAGAGGCAGGACCAACGCCAAGTGTGCGAGGATCCTGAACAGTTTGCTTGCGAGGAAGAAGCACGGACATCTTCCCATAGCACATGTCACCCTCAATCCCACATACATAGCTGCCACAGCCGATGACACTGTTTTTTAGCAGAGCAGACCAAACCTTTACCTGTTTCCTTCTCCTCCCAAATAGGCTGCCTTGAGAAAATCTCCTGGTATCTTAATTGTTTTTGGCTATGCCACTAACTACACTGCCTTTTCATTAATCAGATGTGAAATTCAACAGACGTTTAGTGAGCAGTTACTATGAGCCGTGCTTTAAAAAGCACAAAAAATATCACAAAACCAATGACATAGTCAACTGGTTAAGTGTTGGTCTTATAAGCCCAAAGACCCAGATTTGGATCTCAGATTGGAAAGTCCAAATATGGCTGCCAGTTATCCCAGTGCTGGGGAGATAATGACAAGTGGATGCCTGGGGCCTGTTGACCAGCCAGACCAACCTTTAGGGCCAAATGAAAAGCTTTATATAACCAAGTAGTTGACCCTGACAATTTTAGACTCCAGGTTATCATTTTCATTTATTTTGACCAGAATTTGGCTAGTATTTCTCTTTCATGCTACTCTTTCTTGATGTTCCTGTATATCTGTTCATATATTAGGGAAATGTCCTGTCCAAGTTTCACCAACACTGGTAGTGACCATCTTGGAAGTTGTGGAAGACGTGTGTGTTTATGCTGGTTATTAAAAATGACCAGGTATAGTTTGGGAGTGCCTTATGTTAGTGAGCAGTCATTTATGATCTGTGTTTCGACACTGTTTACCTAGCAACTTTAGCAACAATAAGATCACCGATATCGAGGAGGGAGCATTTGAAGGTGCATCTGGCGTGAATGAGATTCTTTTCACCAGCAACCGTTTGGAAAATGTTCAGCATAAGATGTTCAAAGGATTGGAAAGCCTCAAAACACTGTAAGTATTCCTGACTGCCATTAAAGTGGATTAGACTTCATTGCTCATTATCATCTGGGGAGATAGGTGATTTTCTCTCTCCTCTTAGACTAGTGACTCACAATTTGAGACATAACCATTTAAAAAGAATAACTGTGTTCACCCAGCTGCAACATTTATTTGTCCCTATAGTGCTTCAGCAGAAGAAAAGCAGTGAGTGTGATCAATCCTTCATTATCTACTACTAAGCAAGCATGTTAAGGGCTTTCTCTCTTTGGTTAGTGATAGGGAGTTTGGAAGGAATAAGTTCTTTGTGTCTTCCAAATGTTGTCTAGGTAGAAAAGATGAAACTTAGATCAAATAGCAAAAGCAACACTTAGTATGATTTGAATTATCTCGGTGATTCTTAATACATGTTCTCCAACAGTAGTGGCTCATAAACAAGAAGAGAGAAAAAACAAATCCTAAAGCTGTTGTAGGAGCACATAAAAGAATCTATTTGAACCAAGAAGCAGCCATTGGCAATAAAATAAACACAGGTTCAAGCAATGGTATCTCACCTTATATTGAGAGCTGTGTGTAATGGGGATGTGGGAGGTCCCTGTTCTTTAAGAGGGGAAGAGAAGGATATTTCTTTAGTTAGCAGGATGTGTTAATGGCATACCAAATTTAGATCTGACAAAAAAAAAAAAATAACAGGAGCAAAAATAACAAAAGCAAAAACCACTGCACTTGAGAATAGATGTATGCTGTAATGCTTTAATACTGCACAACCAGCCTGCAACCCAACAATCTAGCAAGGCCAGAATGTCAGTCTCTACCTTTCTCAGGTACTAGTTTTGAGCCAGTCTAAAATGGTATGGCAACGGTTGCTGTGCATGATTATGGGAAATACCCTGGGAGTTTGAACAATAACAACAACAAAAACATGCTGTAGGGCCTGCATCTGCACTTCCCTAGGCTGTCTCAGGTTACTCAACAAAGGACAATACTTCCCTTCTTACACAGAAGCTGGGCGTCTGTTCATTGGTTTAAAAGCTTTCACACAACAGTACTATGGAGAAGGTAGGGGCACATTAAAACTTCACCCATATCAGCCTGTCTATGCTGCCACAACAAGATGCCACAGACTGAATACTATACATGCATTTCTCATGACTCTGGCCATAGATGTTCACCATGAAGTTGAGTTTGTGTTTCAGCCCATCCACCTGGGTTACAGGCTTCCTTTTTGGATAGTTTATTGCTGTAAATGCATGTGACCTTCAGTCTGTATTTTCATGTGAAGAATGGAAGGGTGAATGAGATGTGTGAGACCTCCAGGGTTTCTTTCTCTTTTTATATAAGTTTATAAAACGGTAACGTCTCTCTCCAAAGGCAGTCATGTTTGGTGAGAAGAGCTTCAGTGTGGGAATTAGGGAAGTTGCAGTTCAGTCCACAGTCCCACCCTGAACAGCATCTCAAAGTAATTATTTTGACTAGATACAAATCAAAGGATACTGCCTGATAATTTTCTGAAATCAGCTTTGTCCATTTTATGTCTACTGATCATTTCCTGCTGTTTGTTCTGTAATACATGAAGAAAGCACCCACAAGCTGTCTACTTGATACAGTTGTCCCGAGTGGAACAGCCGAGAGTCTTAAGTGGGTTGTCCAACTGTTATAGGAGATGAGTCTAGATCGCTCTTTTCTTCCATATCATCTGTGAGGTCTGGTGTCCTACGCATTTGAAACTACTTTCCCCTTTCCCCTGATCCTCTTAACTCCTCAGCACTGGTAGGATAGCTGGTAACACATGTGTATATCTCAGCAAGTTATAAAATGTGCTGAGACATCAGGCAAAGCTTGCTGTTTGCATGTGATAATGGATTTTTTTTTTTTTTTAAGTAAGAGAGGTGTTCTTTCTCTTCAGCTCTCCCCAGGGTCCCATAACTCCAATAAGATAAAGACCACAGATCTCTGTTATGCATGGCAAAGGAAATTGCTGATAAGGACACTGTGCTCTTGTTCATTTGTTTCTGACTACCCAGTGATGCCTGGATAAGAAGACATCATCTTTCTTCTTGTCTATTTCTTAGCAAAAAGAGAATATTTTGGGTTTTTTTTGTTTATTACCAAACATAATTTTAAAGCAACAACCTTTTCATCATCTGCCTTAGTTAGGGTTTCTATTGCTGGAATAAACTGCCATTACCAAAGGAAACTCAAGGAGGAAAATGTTTATTTCATCATATACTTTTACATCATGGTTCATCATTAAAGGGATGTATGGGCACGAACTGCAGGTTATCTGGAGGCAGGAACAGATATGAAGGCCATGAGTGAATGTTGATTGCTTGGTTTGCTCTTCATGACGTGTTCAGTCCATCAACCCATTGGTGGCACATGTCTACAGAGAGCAAGGTCCTCCCACATCATTCACCAATCAAAGAAAATGCCTCACAGGCTGGCCCACAGACTAATATTGTAGGGACATTTTCTCAATGACGTTTTCTTTTTCCAAATGGCTATGGCTTGTGTCAAACTGACATAAAAATAACGAGCACATTATGTTTCTCTTTTTATATTTGTCTCCTTCTTCTGGTGGAGTGATTACTCTGAATGTAGAAAGATCAACATATTAATTTTTCATGAGTATTGAATAGTATGTAATGCAACTATAGATTTGTATATGAGGTTTCCCTCCTTCTTGAGAACCTCCAAATAAACAGCTGAAAAAGGAAGGAACTGGGGAACAAGCCCAGTGCTTTAGCAGCAGTGAGGAAATGACACAAGTGTTAATCCTGTTAATGACAATGTCAAAAACTGGAGTTTATTCAAGGCCAACCTATTTAACCTTTGTTGAATATTGCATTTATTCCTTTTGGGAGTTCTGAACTTGAAACTGAATAGATTTTTATAAACAAAACAATCTGGTACAAGCTCGGTGGATGCTAAGTCACGCTTGGCTCCCTTTGCTCTTGTCAGTGAGTCACTGAGTCCCTGAGATGCCCTCAGCTCTCCATCTGCAGTGCCTATTGATTTTTTCCTCCCTCCTTTTCTTCTACCTCAAATGTCATGCTATTCTGAATACACAAATCACTGGGCTCCAGGGACTCAGAGTAGGTGACTTAGAACATTATAAGGCGAACATAATTATATCATCAAACGAAAGCATGTTACCCTCATCATGAGACTGCAAATCCACACAGACTCATCATGCTTTCTGTGGCTTAATGTAGGCACTGATGATTCTAGGCATTCTGTTCTTGCAGGATCATCTCCAGAATATAGTCATCCCTAGGGGAAAAAAGACATTCAAAATAGTAATAAATGCTATATATTTGCTAAAGGGAATGCTTTTGATTCTCAAGAGGCAAAATTGAATGTTTGATATTTTATCTCCATAACAATATCTTTTTCCTTCCCTCAGGATGCTAAGAAGTAATCGAATAAGCTGCGTTGGGAACGACAGTTTCATAGGCCTTGGTTCTGTGCGTCTGCTTTCTTTATATGACAATCAAATTACTACAGTTGCACCAGGGGCATTTGATACTCTCCATTCCTTATCTACCCTGTAAGTAGAAAAGTATTACCTTCATCGAGTGGTTTTCAAGCTTCCTAATGCTGTGACTCTTTAATACAGTTCCTCAAGATGTAGTGACCCTAACCATAAAATTATTTTCATTGCTACTTCATAACTGTAATTTTGCTACTGTTATGCATCATAATGTAAATATCTGTCTTCTTATGGTCTTAGGAGACCCCTCTAAAAGGTTGTTTGAACTCCCAAAAGGGCCACAACCTACAAATTGAGAACTGCTGCCTTTATCCATGACTTGCACTTTTGTATTATATTTCTGAGCTTAAATAATAATGTTATAAATAAAAACATGGCCACATATATAAGCATTAAAGAAAAAGGACATGCTTACATTAACCTTGCTTTATTTTTTCTAAAATTATTACAACTCTTACTACATAAAATTTTATATATGTATTATTTTTCAGCTAATCATTTTATAACGATATGGCTTAAATTTAGAATTATAAATTTTATTCTAACTTGAACAAGTAAATGTCCCAGATTTCTCTCTAAACTATTCATTCTAAACAATGAATATTTTAAACATAAGTATCATAAAAACAGAATTGATAGAATTATTACCAACCAACCACACTCTAAAAGAATCATCGTGGTGACAAGAGATTGATAAAGATGAATAGACCAACAGTAAAAGCTCTTCGCCAGGGGCCATTTACTATGACTTTGCAAAATATGGAAGGAATGAGTGGAGCCTATCCAAGAGAATATTTTGCGTAGACAACTAGAAACCTGAGGATTCTTCCAGGTCTAGGATTGGAACTCTGAAAACACCTAAAAATAAACTTTGAACAATGCGTTTTAGGACTTTTTTGTGTCAGGTTGTGAACATGGTGTTTGCTATTACATCTCTAATAACTATTGATTTCCCTGTCACAGCAGTTTCTAACTATGCTAACCTCACTCAACAGAATGAGGATTAAAGACAGTTAGAACAGTTCCTAAAGCATGTTTGACTCTGCTCAAGTCACTGAAGGGAGAGAGAGAGAGAGAGAGAGAGAGAGAGAGTAAACCAAGCATCCATCCATCAGTAACGTACTTAATCCCTTTTCCATATGAAGTGTGACATTTTACATGGAGTGACTAATTTGTGCATATTAAAGGTGGCATGTTTATAAATAATGGAATTGTCGATAGCCGTGTGCTTAAGTATGAGATGCCAAAAGTATTGAGATTTGTAGAAGTAAATTCATTTTTAAAACTGGCATTTAATCAACTCAGCTGTCAGTTTAGATAGCAAAGCTATTCTCTGGAGCAAACAAAAGATGGAAATCTTGAGATAACAAATTAAGGGAATAGATGTTGTCAGGTTAAACTCAATAATATAAGGTAATCAGCCTTCATCTTTATATTAAATTACTGCTTTATCAGTGCAGCAGAGTTTGACAATAAGTTAAAACTCTGACATGTTTAAATTATTTGTAAGTAAAGTATCTATCAGAATCTGCTGCATAAAATCTAAATTGCTGTTTTTACTGTCTTTTGAAAGAATTATTTTATGAGAATGCATTTGTTTTTTAGTTCCAAATATACAAATTTAGGAAAAGATATACATGACATATTTTATATATGATTTTTGCATATAAAGAAATGAACATGAAAAAACTAGTGAAAAAAAATCATTGTAACTTAAATAATGTGGAGAAGCGGTCACCTAGGAGTTAGAAAAATAAGAAAATGAACCCTGAATTGAACTGTGCATTGTTTGCATATGCTTCTTAGAAACCTTCTGGCCAATCCTTTCAACTGTAACTGTCACCTGGCGTGGCTGGGAGAATGGCTCAGAAAGAAAAGAATTGTAACAGGAAATCCTCGATGCCAAAAGCCCTACTTCCTCAAAGAAATCCCAATCCAGGATGTAGCCATTCAGGACTTCACCTGTGACGATGGTAAGAAATGCGGAATAAATCACGGGTCATTAGACATTTACTCACAGGAACAATCTGATGCTCTGTTATACAGGGAGTGTGCTCCCTTTAGGACTGAAGGACAGAGTTACAAGCAGGGCTTATGGTCTGGAAGAAATGTTTTTGAAAGCAGCTCTCATGCCATGGCCCAATTCACACCTTAGAACTGTGCAGTGTTCTTTGCTTGGTCCTTTGTTCCTGTCAGCAAGGCTCTTATTTTTCTGAGGTTGCCCTTACACACTTAAGTTTACTCCATGCTTCTTTATAAATGTCCAGGAACACTTCCAAGCTCCCATCTTGTGAATTTTACTCATAGAGCTTAATTTTAACTTTATTTTTCTCTGTGTCTTTTTAGAAGCTACTATGTTCAAATAAGAGAAACAAACAACAATAAAAATTATAACATAGAAGTTCTAGTCAAAGCAACAAGCCAGTTTCCCCCTTTCTATTGCTCTCTGCCACTGCTTTCCATTCTCACTATAGTCCTATGAGCTTAGTGTAGCAAGTTCTGTTGTTACTGCAGTGAACAGGAGATAAATTGAATTATACATTTTTAATATGAAATATTGATGCAATTCTTTTAAAAATTTCAAGGCCAACTGCCCCTTTATGGCCATCGCTTCACAATATTTCCTTAATCCAGTTTATTTTTGGATATCCTGACTGAAAACTATATAAATGCCTAAGCAAGTAATGAATTATTAAGATTAAAATTATGTTGGTTGTACAAAATTGTGAGCAATTTTGTGAAATTCTGCCATAAAGAATTCAAAATTAGTGCATACATAGTGTCAGTCTTACTTAGTGCTTTATATATAAATGTAAAAATAATAGCTCAAGAACCTTGTGTTTGTAAAAAAAATTTCTTTTTATTATCATTTATTACAACTTATTAAATATTTATCCTGGCTCTGGTTCCCTCCCTCATCTCCTCCCAGTCCCACCATCCCTTGGTCTTCTCCTCCCATGCTCCTCCCCTAGTCCAATGATAGGGGAGATACTTCTCCTCTTCTATTTTACCCTAGCCTATCAAGTCTTATCAGGACTGGTTGCACTGTCTTCTTCCGTGACCTGGCAAAAAAGTGTTTGTAAAATGTATCTAAACATATAAACTCCATTTAGTCCTTTCAAAAATATAACTCTTGTGTTTTTCTGTATTTCCTGTGGTAATCTAGGCAATGATGACAATAGTTGTTCCCCACTCTCTCGTTGTCCTTCGGAATGTACTTGCTTGGATACAGTAGTACGATGTAGCAACAAAGGCTTGAAGGTCTTGCCTAAAGGTATTCCAAGAGATGTCACAGAGCTGTAAGTACAGTTTGTTGTCCTTGTTTTTCTCTGTTCCTGTGAGCAAATGCTGTGACAACACTAACATTACAGGAGAAAAGATTTATTGTTGTTACAGTTCTAAGTCCACCATTACAAGAAAATCAAGCTAGGAACTCGAAGCGGCTAGTCACGCCAACAGCCAGGAGTAGAAAGGAAATTAATGTATGCAGGTTCATTTCTGTTCATAAGGTCTAGGAACAAAACGATACTGCACACAGTGGGCTTGGTCGTTCCACAAAAAATAATGTAATTAAAACAAACGAGGTCCAAACAGTCTTACATTAAGATTCTATCCCAGGTGATTCTTAATTGTGTCAAGCTGAATTTTAAAACAAACTGCCTTACTTGTTTTTCTGATAAAGAGCTAACAAAAAATAATCTTTAGGATCTCTTTTACAGGTCACGATCTATTCCTGGTTAATTTCTATAAAGTAAAATATAAAGCAATAATGCAAAAGCCACTTGAGAGACCTTGGGGATTATTGATTGGATATATTTTCCTTTTAGCAAAATAGAACTCCTCAAGCCTTTGTTGTCCCTGTTATGCTCCAATAAGGACAGTCAAACATTTTATACTTATCCTGAACTTATTGCTTCTCTCACCCCTTATTTTTTTTCATGGAGCATTTTATAAAACTAATGTTCCATCAAATACAGTTTGGGAAATGTTGCATAGTTAATTTATTTTCAATGTCTAATGTTCTCTACATAGTTAATTTTTCTCTGTTCCTATGACTTCTGGGATACTATTTAACCATTTAGGATAATAATTATCTGGGAATTAGAAGAAGCTGCCAGAATCCTTGCCTTGTAAAGGAGACATTATCTCTTTAGACTTAGACTTAAGTCAGTGTCCTTTAGATGCAAAAGGACATGCATTCAATTATTTTTATACTTGAATAGCTGATATTTAAATACAAATTTCATAGCCAATATCCACATAAATAGATCTTCAGAAGTTAGTCCTTCAATTCAAAGTCCTATGGCTGCATTCCCACGACATATTTGGAATGGAAAGAACACCATATGCATGAATTAGGATGCATTTATGTCTCGTTCATTCCATTCCTTTATATCTAAATTGTAATGTAATGGGAAAATATTTTATCCAAATCAAAGCGATTCATTTAGTCTGTACTTATTTATGTAGTGTGCAACATAAGCAATTGAGGTTCAAGAATGTGTTACTTATTGACCCTTAGGCTTTGGGCTAAGATCACATGAAGAACATGTTTCTTTAGTTTTTCAAGGGTCTCATTTTCAAGTCATATTTAGTTCATGGATGCTATTTTTGGTCCTAAATAAAACACTTAGAGAAGACACAATCTTTGCACAAGAAGAATGTGTTTCTTAGTTCTATTTTAGAACTAAAATACTGTTAAGTTTTTTTCTCTTTCTCTTGCTACCAAACGCTAGAGTTAATTGATTGTAAACACTGTGTTTTGTGTGTGTCATTAAACAACTGTTGCTTTAATATTTTTTTCCAAATGATCATATGGACCTATAACCCTTTACCACTCCTTATAAGCCTGTATTCTATATGCAAAATGAAATTCTATAAATATCCCACTGAGGAACATAGCATTCCCATCATCTTTGATGCTAAATACTCTCTTACATTTTACCTGACTTTTGTCTTCCCTCATCTAAGAAAAATTTTAATTTCTGTATTAAACTCCATTTCTTGATTCACTCTATCTGTGCCATGTGTGATTTCTTCTCTTAAGTTGAGCCTTCAGTCCATATAAGAAAGCTCATTTTAAAAGAGTTTTACTTTCATTTTATAAGTAAAAGCTTGTTCTGTACAAGTCAGAACACTAACTCATCCCTCGAAATTCAACTTTTACCTCCCAGAGAGATTATTCTCAGACTCTTACCAAGTCAGCAGGAGCTTTCTTGCCAGTCATATATATTCATATATTAGAAAATGTTTTTTTTAATGTGCATATGTGTACTACATTAAATTATTAAAGAATTTGGCAAAATACAATGTATTGGTGGACAAGTTGAACAAATGGAATCCATTAGTTTTAATCAGTTCCGTATACCTTCCCCTTATACTCTTTGCGGAGTAGACATGCAGAGTGTTCTGGGTCTTTTTGTCCTGCTGCAACAACATTTCTCGGCTAAAAAAAAAAAAAGTGTTGAAGTTCATGGAACGCTGCTTCCCTCTAGTGGTACCAAGAAAAGCATAGCTAGAAGAAATAGAGAAAGGAAGCAAAAGAAATAAATACAAGCACTCATCAGAAGTCATATTGCAATATATAATCCCATATCAAACACATATATTTACAGCCTGTGTATTTTATAGATGTGCTTGCATTTTTAAATATTATTGATTTTTTTTTAATCTCAGACAACTTATTGACTTTTCCTATAAACATTAGAATTCTAACCTCAACCTGAGATCTCAAAACTGACCACAGCACTGGAAGAGAAATAAAACCACATCTTCAGTGTGTCACAGTTGGTTTCAGCTGAACATCTGCCCAGATGAATCAAGGTTCTAGAGACCCTTGTACTATCTGTTGCCTTGGACAAGAGAGCTTTGCAAAGAGAAGCATTTTTTTTTTCTTTTTCTTTTTGGTGACATCATGGATCTAACTCCCAACAGCCTGTGCCTCATCAGTAAGCTTATTCCTGTGCCTCATCAGTAAGCTTATTCCTGTGCCTCATCAGTAAGCTTATTCCTGTGCCTCATCAGTAAGCTAATTTTTGTGACTTGCCTATGTTGTGACCCTAATAGACCAAAAATATAGACTTTTATTTGGAAAATGCTTTTTAGTGCATGTAATACTTTTTGTCTATTTGAATTTTTAAATATTACTCCATGAAAGCTCTTGAGACCACTATTACAAAGCAGGTATATAACACAAAAATATACCTTAAAGTTATAGCTAGTTGTACTCAAATAGCTCCTTAAAACTGCCCACTGTTATTTAGCAAATGTGTTGATTATACACAGACAATGAAGAAATTAGTCAAACGCAATAACAAGGGTTGGTTAAAAAAATCTTCAATTGCATGGTACTGTCTTCACATAAATACAAGTAGACTGAACACTGCTTAAAAATATAAATCTTTGGATGGACCTTCTTGCTGATAGAAAAATAGCTAGACGGTTGGCGTGCTTTCTTGGTAAAACCACAAAAAACCTGACCACACCATCTTGTCCTTAGTTTTACTCGTTAGCCTAAGAAGCCACAAAGAGTTCTACTAGATTGAACTACTGTGCATTTTGCCCTTTACTTGTCTTGAGTAACGATCCCAGCTTGGAATATGATCTTAAAGAGAAAACTGCCAAGTTGCTCCTCTTCTCTGTTCAAAGTACCCATTGTTCACGTGTTCTGTGACTCTCACTGTTGCTTTGTGAGCAACCTTGTCATGTCCTTGTTTTTAGGTATCTGGATGGGAACCAGTTTACACTGGTCCCCAAGGAACTCTCCAACTACAAACATTTAACACTTATGTGAGTAGAATGTTTTCCCATATTTAACTTACTTTATTTCATTAAAATGGGGATGGCAAGAGGTAGAAGTTTTAGAGAGCCTTTCGCCTCATGTAAATCACCTACAGAGACCTGTTCCTCTGCTAAATCACTGTGGTTCAGGATCACTCACTGCATCTCTATTGAATATCAATTACAAGATGTAGAGTCTTAGCTAAAGCTCCTCTAGCTAAAGGAGCAAAGGTATAATAATGGCTAAGTATTTTTAAAAAGTATTCAAACAGAAAAACTGGGTGCTTTATTTATACAAAAAGAGACTACTTGTTAGAAGTCATAAATATAGTGGAAAAATATTTTATTTTATATGGCAAACAAAATACTGTCACAACTTTGCTGAAAATATATGTTTTACTTGATTTTCCTTTTTAAGACTTGTTAAAGTAATTAGGGGCTTTAAATACTATAGTTCATTTTATGCAAGCCTGCAGATTTGTCCTGTATATAATTAAGCTATACAAAGATCCTGACGTAATGAATATGAATTTCAAAACATTGATTGTTTCTTTAGCTTAGATTTCTCCCTTTGTAAAATAATTTTCTTTTCAGTAAACGAAAAGACTTTGTGATGATATTTGAATGTAAGACATAAAACCACGGGACATTTAAATCTATAAACAAAGTGATCTAATTTCACACATCGTTTTAAAAACAGACATGATCCTGTTACATATAATTTCAAACTTTAGAGTAACCTTGTTGGTGACTGATAACGCTTCATGACACACAGAGAAATTGGGGAACTATAAGAGATTTTAATGTATATACATCATCATTAGTTTCATTCTATTTTATTTTCTAGTTTTGGAGGCAGATTGTTAAGTTTCATGAATAATTTTTTATTTGTAAGTAGTGAGTTCCAGGAAGCTCGAGAGAAAGAGTTATTATATTATCTATGTAAACTTTATCCAGGTGCACTGAGGCAAGATGCTGTTGGTCTCTACATTTTCCACAAAACATGGGAAATCCAAATGGAAATTATTATGAGGCCATGTATATGAAAAATAGCTTACCTAAGGAAAAAATACTTTGACCATAGCTTATTCTACTTTAGTTATTCTATGATATCAAGAACAGATCTGTTTAAATGAGCTATAAACTAGCTCTGATTTTCAGAAGGTAATTTTAATGGTTTTGGGTCATTTAGGAAAGAACGTGTGACTACTTAGAATGAAATAAAAATGAAATCTGTGGATCCAGAAATGTTTATTCCTACTGACCCATTATATAAATATATATGTAACTTTTTTATTTGGGCATGGAATTTTTTTAAAGATTTATTTATTTATTTGCATACAGTGTTCTGCCTGACCACGAAAGGAGGACACTAGATCTTATTATAGATGGTTATGAGCCACCATGGGGTTGCTGGGAATTGAACTCAGGGCCTCTGGAAGAGCAGCCAGCACTCTTAACCTCTGAGCCATCTCTCCTAGGCATAAAATTTTAACATCTAAAATGTGGAGGATAAAACTCCTATAATGTTCATATCATCCTCATAATTATGTAGGTCTATTTTACTCATATTTTAGAGTTTAAATACAAGAATAGGTGACCCTTATCTCTTACTTATCTTTTAATTATTCTGTGTTATAATTTGCTCTAGGAAAAAGTAGTGGCTAATTATAATGATTATACATATTGAGAAAATGTGTGTCAACAAATATTTATATGAATGAATGTATACATAATTGTGATACCTATCCATGTAATATGTATTATGGTTAAAAACACAAAATGCATTCTGAAATAAACAACAACATTCAGCATCTCTGCTTATCGATTAAATATTTATTGAGAACCTCCTGCATGTCAATGACTCAACCAAGGGTCCAAGCACAGGGGTTTTTATGATGACAAGTTGAATATAACTAAGTCAGGGATTGTTCTAATAAGCAAATCTGATGATGTGTATTAGTGGACAAATATATCAGTGGTGGTACAGAACAGAGAGCTAATGGGGCGATAAAGACAGGTGACTTATTCCTAACTCTAATAATGAATGTTTTGTTATTCCTGTTAATAGCAAGCTCCATGTCTTCCCTTTTCTCTTTTAGAGACTTAAGTAACAACCGAATAAGCACCCTTTCCAATCAAAGCTTCAGCAACATGACTCAGCTTCTCACCTTGTGAGTGTAAAAGTGTGGTACTGAATATTTACTTCTTCCTTGAGTGGGGAGGATTTACTTGGTGGTTCTTGGTGAACAAGAGAGAGTCTGTGACATTATGGAGTATAAATACCATCTAGAGAAACAGACAAATTTTCTATAAACAACAAAGATAAAAAAGTTACTCATTATGTTGGGTTTAACATAAGACACACACACACAAAAAAAATGTTTGTTTAAGATTATGACACAGTTATTAGAAATCCTTAAAGTAAGATTTAAGGGTGTTTTGGTCAGTGTTCTATTGCTGTGAAGAAGCATCATAATGACTGTAACTCATAAAAAAGAAAGCATTTAATTGGGGCTTTCTTAGTCTCAAAAGTCCATTGTCGTAATGGCAGGAAGCATGGTGGCACACAGGCAGACATTCTACACCTGGATCTGTAGTTAGCCGGAAGAGAGAGTCTTTAAGCTTTGAATGGGCTTTTTGAAACTTAAAAGCCAAGGACATGCTTCCTCCAACAAGTGCACCCCGTATTCATTTCACACAGTGCCACTCTCTGGCAACCAAGTACTTAAACCTATGAGCCCATGGGAGCCATTCTCATTCAAACCTCCACACAGTGCATGAGATCTCAGAGAATGGGTGAGGCATGTGTTCATAGGTTTAGGTTATATTTAGAAAATTCATCATAATAGGATTAGAACACATAAATGAACAATGTAAATAATATATAAATATATTAAATTCATAAATTGCTCAAACAACTGTTTTCTGATGTGGTTTGCTTTAAAATAGCATTTGTGTATTATTACATTCTTGAATTAAATGAACTGGCATGTGTCTGTTTACAGAATCCTCAGTTACAACCGTCTGAGATGTATCCCTCCACGGACCTTTGATGGACTGAAGTCTCTTCGGTTACTGTAAGCGTCCTGTATTCAGCAATCGCCTCTTTGGTGACCTGAGTTATGGGGTATTTTTTGGGTGGTGATCACTTTGTTATTCTTGGTTACTTCATGATATATGTGTTAGGGTTTACTGTTAATTTGGAATTGGACAATTGTCATATATGCTATCACTGTACAATCACTTTGATTAAGACAGCATGACCTCCTTTTTGGTAATATGTGTTGCTGTGAAAGTCACTTATCGATAGTCTATAGTACTAAAGCATACATTTCACATAGCTCCAATTAATTTATGAAAAATAAGAAAACTGGATCTCCTTAGAAATCACATTATACTTGAAATGTTTTTCTGTGAAATGGATTTGTGTGGTGCATTTTTTCAGGCTTCGGGGTTTTTTGTTTTTATTTCCTAATACATGTATCCACACAGTTGAGTAACTCTTAACAGGTATGAGTAGGGTCCTATCTTGTAGTAGCTTCTTTCATTTAACACTTTAGTGTGTCCTTTTCCATGTGTATTGGTTTCTCAATTGTTGACAAGGTACAGGATATTCCTTAAACTGGAGGAAATAATTTTGTTAACTATCTTTATCCTCATTATCATTCAGAGTAATGAAAAATAATTCTTATTTCTTATAATACTCAAATGATCCATCCATATTTTTGTCTTGGTGCAAATTTTCTAACATGAAAAGCGACTCCTCTCATGAAGTTCTCTCTATGATTTCAGGATGGTTCCAGACCTGTCAACTTGTCTCCCAAACAATATTTTGTCATTTAGTTAATTTCATTTTTCACCTACAGTATAATCACCTTTGCAGAGCAGTTTTATAAATTTTCATATTAGAGTATTATTAATCCTTTTGCTTTCAATAACAGACTGATTTGTTTTCTATTTTAACTTGTATTTCTAGTGGCTATAGCCTTTTAGTACTGCGAAGGCTGATTGCTTCATTAGCCATAATCTATTAGATACTCTTTGCATTATGATCACTGACATCTGTATAATTATTATTGGTTTTAAATCTTTTAATTAAGGAATTAAATGTTTTATCTTTCAGGATTATGATACTCAGTTTCTTACATGCAATCCTTTAACAGATATTTATTTTACTTTGTAAATATTTAGTACTTTCCTTTCTCGTTCTTGATATATATATATTATACCATTGAAAGTTTTTCTCAGCCTGTGATTATATAAACAGTATATATCTTTAAAGAATTGTTTATTCTATTTTACATTTAACTCTTCAATGTGAGAATTATTCTGGGTGGATGATGCGAAATCTGTGCTGACTTTTTTTTTTTCTTAAATAGATATCTGTTGTTTAAACATAGCTTATGGAATAGATCGTCTCCTTCCACTGACTTAAGTGTTTAATAAAAATTAAGTCCTTGTACATGTAGGTATATTCTTCTGAGCTTTCTTTCTCACTTTTAGGTCTCTACATGGAAATGATATTTCAGTTGTGCCTGAAGGTGCCTTCAGCGACCTTTCAGCCTTATCACACTTGTGAGTACCTGGCTCATTGATGCTCATTGGTAGGGTCAGATGCCCTCTGCCTAACAAGTCTAAATAGTCCTCTATGCTTCCGTTGCTGTAACTAAAAGTCATACTTGATTCCAAATTAAAGAAAATGTACAGAGTTTAACGTTGGGTACCTTGCCACCTACAAGTAAGTTTTAATTTATTCATTTGGCTGTCAATCTTCATCAGTTGGATGGCCTCTGCTTAGCTAAAAGTGTTTTTGAGATGATCACAGAACCCCAGGCCCACTGTCCTTTTTTCTCATTGCTCTCTGATTATTACCCAACTCTGCTTCCCAAAGCTGTGTCTCATGTACGACTTTATCCATGAATCACTCACCGACTTGCTCAACCTGAATTTATATATACCATGAATATTACCTAGCATTGAACATGGTACTGTGCAATAGTGACATTGACAACACTGAATATTTTATAATCTGATAGTGCTTTGTGACATTAACCTTTGTATGTATTCCATTATCCACTTCTACCTCCATATTTACATTTCCAATAAAAATAGAGGTATAAAATTATGTAGACCTACACATATGTATGCATATATACATATACATACTCAGAGCCAAGAAGTTAACACTGTTGAATTCCGTCCTTACCCTGTTACTAGATGTAATAGTAAGACATCTCAAAGCTAGAAGAAAGAGAAGAAAACTGTCTAAGGCTAGAAAGCCTTCTTGGGTGATGTTAAGTTTGGGGCCACCCAGTAACAATTATCTTGTTTTGCCTGGATGTCTGAGCCACTATGACTTCAGAAAAATTCACAAATTTCAATAAAGATTAGAAATTTGGAAAATTCAAAGAGACACTGAAAAAATAATATCCTGTAGTTAGTTGTGTTTCATCTGAATTTGCCTTGTGGAAGCTCTGACATCATATATATACGTTTTTCAGATGGCTTCCTCTCATTCATAGTCATTTCTTTAGACCAGAGGCTGCAAGAGGCAAGACATCTCCTATTTCATTTTTGAGCCTCAGCATCTAGCTCACTAAAGGTCTACATCAAGGCCTGTCTTTGTAAACTCCTCGGATGTACTGTCCATGAGCTACAGTATAAAAGATCTTCATTTTAGGGGTGTGGCTGCTGTTATTTGAGAGAATGCTACATAAAGGAGGCAATGGATTTAGGGTCATGGATCAGAAAAGACGGCACAGCATGTGTCCTGCTTGACTGGAGCAAACAGTTCATTATGTGGCTCTCCCCACAAGAGTGATCCAGTTCAAAGTTTCTTTGTCCTGCCCCTTCTCAGCCTTGCTGCTCAGTTATACATGTCTTTCACTCTGAAGATCATGAACAGCTCTTCTCACTGACTTCTCTCTCCTCTGATTCAGGAGGGCATTGGGAAATGTCAATAGAGAACAAATGAATAAAAAAATGCCATTTTGCTCATGCTTGGATTTGAACTGTTTCAGGCTGACATAGATGCAAAGGAAACATTTACTGCACTGTGGTGCTTGATTAAATTTAGACATTTATTTATACAACATAAGGTGTTGTGACTTTGCAACTATATTTTAGAGGGCCCCTAAAAATGAATGTGATATGTTATGATTAAATCGCACACCTTGCTGCCTAATCAGAAGGTAATTGAGCTTTGAAAAGTTGCGTTACATACCTACCTCTTCTATCCCACTAAAGAACCTATTAATTAATAATAACGAGTTATTTTTAATATTTACCTCACACAGTACCATTTTAAATAAAATAAGATAATTCACAGAAATGGGATAGCCAAGTTCCTTCAGTTTGCAATGATATTACAAATGCTAGCTGCTTTCCTTATAACTCTTCCATTGCTATTACTGTTTGTGGAACGAAATCCAGGATTCCAAAATGAAAGAACAGAAAATGACAGTTCAGTCAGGGTGCAAATCAATGCTAGAGAATGAGCTTGATTTGTCTTTACGTGGTCTTTTCCCTGGAACAATAGCTCTAACCTTTTCCACCTACTTAATTATCCCAATTAAATAGAGTTCCACACCGAACAGCACCTCCTGGAGAGGTTAGCCAGCTCAGTAAATGTTTCTGCTATGTAACTTCTCCTGAGCATTACTAGTGTTTGTCTGTATACCAGTCTTCTTAGAAATGGGAGCTCTTTGAGGTTCAAGAATGAGTCTCTGTCCATACTGCAATACTCAGAGCCTTGCATGGTAACTGAGTTCTGAGTAAACAATTGGGGCATGCAGGAAGTGCTAACCAGCCCTTCGGATGCACGTCTGCCCAAAATAAAAGTGTCTCTCTGAGTGTGAAGAGACCTTGTAAAGCCCAAGAAACTGTTAACATTTGTCCCAACCTTGCAAAAATAAGGAAAGTGGGTATCTGCAGTTTCTCTGATTTTCTTCTAAATTGTTGGCATCAACAAATCCATAGGGATTTTCTACTGAACATCACTGTGAATCTGTTCTGTTAGGAAATAACAATACTTCCATACTTGTGTGTGTGTGTATGTGTGCTTTTGTGATGTTCTTTTTCCAGAGCAATTGGAGCCAACCCTCTTTACTGTGATTGTAACATGCAGTGGTTATCCGACTGGGTGAAGTCGGAATATAAGGAACCTGGAATTGCCCGCTGTGCTGGTCCTGGAGAAATGGCAGATAAATTGTTACTCACAACTCCTTCCAAAAAATTTACATGTCAAGGTATGGCTTTTAATTATTTATACTACTATTGAAACACTCCCTATGTTAATCCCCACAGAAATGGTAGTTTTCTGTGGGCAGACTTCAAAGGGCTAGTTGGGAAAGTTTATATTCTCCTTCCATCTGCTTAAACAAGGTAGGACAATTCCTGTGATTCCCAATTAAACAACTGGGCTTCTCAATTCCACTTTAGGGCCATTAGAATAAATACGCTTTCCTGACAATGTAGGTAGGCATGTACAAATTGGAAATGACTTTCTGAGTCTCTAACCAATAAAATGTTTTACTTTTGCTTTATCTGAATGTGCCCCTGCTCTTAGGGCTGCCAGGGCCCTGTGGCTTCCTAATCCCAGGTAAGGAGAATCGAACCAAGCCTCCCAGTGTTCCAGCCAGGCACTCCCGCTACTGCCTTCCCCATGCTGAGATTTCCTGTGTCGATGTTCCCTCATGCTTGCTTCTACTCCCGTTTCTCCCCTAACTTGCCCCTTTGTTGATGGTCTTGTAGATTCTTAATAGTATTTTTATAATGAACATAATTTTATTCTCTCATCCTAAGAGTAGTATGTGCAAACACTTGGAGTATAAATAGGAAAAATCTAAATGGGTAAATCCAATCAGTAACAAAGTGCTTATTTTTTACAGGAAGAAATAAAATAAATTATTGGTCACAATACACAAATGTAATCTCTATAGACTTACTTTAAGTATCATTCCAATTGAGAAAACCAAATATGTAGATTTAGTTGGTAACTTTTGTTTTTCTTCTTAACTTTTAGATATTTTAAAGACCCATACTATACAGGGTTTACCTTTTCTCATTTCACATTTAGAAGTATCAATATTTTTCTTCTCTAGCAATTATGAGTGGGTTTTTAAAAATATCTACAGGTTAAGAAGAATAACAAAAGTTGCAAACTAAATCTACATATTTGATTTCCCCAAATGGCATGATACAGTCTCCCTTATCAACTAGGTTGCCTGCTCTTTGATCACCTTTTCCTGGGGGGTGAAGCTTTTCTAGGCCACAAAGAAAGAGGATCCAGACAGTCCTGATCAGACCTGTTAGGCTAGTGTCAGATTGCAGGGGAGGAGGACCTCTTCTATCAGTGAACTAGGGGAGGGTCATAAGGGAAGAAGAAATAGGGAGAAATTTTAAAGAAATTTTTATTCAACATTAGCATTAGTCACGAACCAAGGTAAAGATGGTTAAATAATTTAGTCTAAGGTAGAAGTAATGAAAAATTTACTGGTTATACCAGCTTTGAAGCATAATTCATATTCAATGCAAATAATTTAAATTTTCAGATCTCATATCACTAACTTATAGCTATAACTTTGAAATAACTTTAGTGTAGAGGATTTTAAATTTATTCGCCTTCTAAAGAAAAATGTAGATATATATAGCTGTGAAAAGCATCACTCACAATAATAAAAATGGTGATTTTTTTTGTTTTTTTAACTTTTTTATTTTTTATTAATTACACTTTATTCATTTTGTATCCCCCCATAAGCCCCTCCCGATCCCACCCTCCCTCCACTTTCTGCATGCATGCCCCTCCCCAAGTCCACTGATAGGGGAGGTCCTCCTCTCCTTCTTTCTGATCTTAGTCTATCAGTTCTCATCAAAAGTGGCTGCAGTGATTTTTTTTAAACTACACTTATTAACATTTGAGACTTAGAAAGTTTTAGGTTGCCTTTATTTAAATAGATACGCAGAACCAACAGTTCATAATACATCCTTGGATATTTTAAAATCATATTTTTCATGATACACTAAGTATATAAAACAGGTATTGTTTGTTCTAATCCATCATGGTTCAAGAAGCTCTTTACTGGCCAAAGGCACATATAAATAGCAAAAAGGCAAGTATAGTAATCTTCATGATCCTTAGCCTTGGTGTTATTGTTTAACCATACAGCTAAAGCAAATTTACAGGATTTTTTAATTGCCTATCATTAGCTGCCATTTTTATTCCTAAGTCAAAGGTGTTGTAAGACCAATGGATCTGTCCTGCTGAATCCAGTCACATCAATTTCGTTATCCTTATCAGCTCACCTACATGAGCAGTGGCCAGTGTCACTTTTTTTCACTGTTTTTTGTTGTTGTTGTTGTTGTGGGTTTTTTTTTTTTTTTACCTCTTTCTTCATGTATCTTTTTCTGGTACTACTTTCTTTCTTAGCTGTCCATTAAGTTCAGTTCTTCATCTTATTAAACTTTCAACAGATTTTCATTAATGGCCACAAATAATTGGCCATGAATTTTCTCATAGAATTCAGCATCCTATTTAAATTTGCTCCTTAAATCCTCTACCTTAATGGCTCTTACAAACTTAAAATGTGATTTTCATCACATGTGTTATCATTGCCCTTATTTTTTTCTCTAATTAATACATGCATGTATCTCTATTGCTCACCTGAAGGTTTTGAAGAATCTCAGACATTTTATTTGGATTTGATCATCTGAAGCCGCACACCTCACCCAAACTAGATGCCTATAAATATTTGATGAATGAGGGAATGTTGATAAACATGCCTTTGATAACATTGCTTAAGGAATTCTGCAATAACAAAAATAAGATAAATTTTGGTTTTAAACAAGATCTCCTTTCAGTCCAGTTGCCTGCTATCAAAAATTGTCCACGTGCTTCTGGAATTATTTTCCATGTACTTTGAACACAAGTTCGTTTTTGGACTAGTGTTTTTAAATGATTATAGAAAAAAAATACAGATTCTGAGATATAGATAGAACTTTCTTTGTCTTGGGCTTTTGGAAATAAAAAAAAAGTGAGATAGAAATGTCAGGGGTAGCAACAGTGGGGTCAGGCGATTATCTAGTGGTTGGAGTCTTGTAAGCAGGTCTGCATTAGACTTCAAAGTATGCAAAGTCCAGTATTCAGTCAATTAAGGCAGGTAACGGACAGAGTGCTAACCAAACCTTCTTCTCATTTCACTTTGAGTTATTAAGATAAACACATCTCTTCTCGTCTAACTAGTACTGTAGCATTTTTTTAAGTAAAACTTAACGTCAAATCAACCCAGATGGCATACACTCAGCTCGTTCATTTTACTGACACTAGCAAATATCTGTCCCCATGAGGTGAGAGGTGTTTCGTCCTCTGTGGTACACATCTCATAGGGGTTAATCTGTTGGCAGGAAACATCTCTTGAAACCAGTTAGTTTCAATAGGAGAAGCTGAAGAATGTAGTTGTTTTCCAAGGAGAGAGAAAGAGAGAGAAAAGGGGAAAGAGGGAGAGAGAACATCTCATTATTTCTTACGATTGTGCCATTGTTTCTATTATTCATGGTCCACAACAGATTTACAAATCAAACTTGTGTTTCTAGAACATGAACTCATTAGCTCACTAATCTGATAAATAATTAACCTTTTATATTTACTTCTATTTTTCATATTCACCAAAATAGTCTTTATTGTTACCCTGAGTCAGAATCAAGCCATAATTTCCCTTGAGTGAGAGGACATCAGAAGAAGATATTTAGAGATATTTAGATATTTAGAGATATTTAGAGAGGGCACTGAACAGAAAATGAATTCCAAATTGGAGTCAAATAAAAGATATGATTTAAAATGCTTAAATGCGGGTAGGAAATGAATACAATTGATCAAGATACCAGGGAAATATTTCTAAAGGGTTGAAATATAGACAAAAGCAAAGTTGGTGAAATCATGTGGATGTAAAAGGAGCTAAGAAAGCTGCCAATGGGAAAAAGCAATCAATTGCCATTTTTAACTCCATTGACAAGAAACCAAATAATGCCCAGCAAGGCAAGATATTCCAAAAGATCATTAGTGATACCTATATCCTGAGGATAAACAATAGCTACCCAACTGAAATTAAGGTCCATTCAATAGGGTCATGCCTGGCACTGTAAATTTAGTCAACTTCCTGTGGTTGGTATAGTCATGGGACCTAGATCATAACCTACTATTGCCAGTTTTCTGAAGAAGTAGAATCTCTAACTGCATTTCATGTACTTATTCTTATGTCCACATGTAAGTATAGATCTCACTGATCATCACAGAAACTGCTCTTTACGGCCGCTAAAGAGCATTACAGAAAGTCACAACTGGTCAAAATACAGAGATCAACTGTCCACTCTCAATTAATACATTTCAACACAACCCCTACATTTAAATGTCAGGGAACATTGGAGAAGAGGGGTCAAAAGATTGTAAGAGTGACTGAAGTAGAACATTTGCTGTGAAAGACCCTTGTAGGGAAGGAGCACAGAACAAAACATGCTGGGTGATATTTTGAGTGAAATTAACCTGAGAAGGCTTCAAGGTTGACAGGTTAGTTGTGGTTTGGGGGTGCTTGACAACTGTCCCAATAGCAAATTTCCTACTGATTGTGCTAGGAATTTTGTGTAATAAAAGCTGAGAACTGAACCAGCCACTGCTTGTTCCATTGAGTATAAGAACCCATGCAGAGATTGCTATTGGTAAATGTTCATATTTCAAAGGAGTTGTACTTTCTATATAAGGAAGTCCAGTTGTCATAGCCCCATTCCAGTGCAGTTGCAGAAAGGGAATATAAGGGGCGCTCACAAACTGTGCAGAAGTTAGCATCAATAAAACATGATTTATAGAGAACAATTTAATTTCCACAGTTTGGGCCATAGGTCAGATAGTAGGTATGAATAGGAGATAACTTCTGTGGCTTATAATGTGTTAAACTGGCCTTTTACTGATAATGAGGTTTCTATAAACTGTGTTACAAAATGTGAAACTGATAGGCTCATTTCTGTGGAATTTTATGCTACAGAAGACAGGCTGGAAATGTCACCAGCCACAGCCTGCACTAATGAATTAAAAGACTTAAAATGATACAAAGAAGAATATAACATAGGCTACATATTTTTTTCTGGATTTTTGTCATATACGTAAAATAGGACTGGAGTTTTGTGTTATGCATTTCCATTGGGCTGGCTTGGATTGAGGTATATGTCATTGCCATTGGTAGTATCCAGAAATATAAGTCAGTACATAAAAAGAGTCATATCATGACACTGTCATTAATTCCAGATACTTGATACCTAAGCTGCCAACCCAGACTCCTGTTTTCACTCAGAAGTATCACAGTCCTCACAGTCAGAAGGCCTCCTTTGGCCATATTTGATGATATAGATTTCTGGTTTCATCATAGAAAAGATTCATGACAACATGAGTGACAATAATTTTACAAATATTTTACTTTTATGTTAGGGATCATAAATGAATTAGATGAAATGAAAAACGAAAAGTACCCCTTCCTCATATTTTTCTATTGATTTGTAGGTCCTGTGGATGTTACTATTCAAGCCAAGTGTAATCCTTGTTTATCAAATCCATGTAAAAATGATGGTACCTGTAACAATGACCCAGTTGATTTCTATCGATGCACCTGTCCATATGGTTTCAAGGTAAGTAGAAAAAAACTTGCTATGGCATATAATCTTCTTCCTGCTCTTCTCTCTGTGTGTTCTGAGAGATAGCTTGCTTTATCTCTACTTACATTAACATGGGCATTTCTTCTCCAGGGGCAGGACTGTGATGTTCCCATCCATGCCTGTATCAGTAACCCATGTAAACATGGAGGAACTTGCCACTTAAAAGAAGGAGAGAATGATGGATTCTGGTAAGTAACCTGGCTGTGATGGCCTTTGTCTGAACTATTGAACCAAGAGTACCTAAACAATTATGCACAAGGTTTTCTTTTCTTTTTTTTTTCAAATCAGAAGCCATTCTTTCAAGAATTTTAGTGTTCAGACCACATGAATTATTCCATGAGATACATAGCAAATATGAAATATTACCAAAGAAACTACAGTGTTCTCAGATCAAAGTGGTACAAAGTCAAATATTTAAAAGCATACAAACATTGAGTTTATGCCAGAGACAGCCCCTGCTCCCCTTAATAGGTAGCTCACTTGGAGACTGAGCCTCTGGGCTACATCTGAGCAGGGGTTTAGGTTCTCTCCATGCATGGTCCTTGGTTGGGGTATGAGTCTCTGCAAGGCCCCCAGGGCCAAGTTTTTTGGCTCTGTTGGTCTTTGGGGTGCAGCCTTGCCAGACCATGAATCTAGTTGTGATGAGACCTGATAGGCTGGGGTCAAATAGAAGGGGAGGAGGACCTCCCCTATCAGTTGGCTAGGGGAGGGGCATAAGAAGTGAAAAGGGAGGCAGGATGGGATTGAGGGATGAGGGAGGGGACACAGCTAGGATACAAAGTGAATAGTGTAAGAAATAATAATAATGATAATAATAACAAAGGAAAAGCATGCCAACAGACATATTATGATAAATTAAATCATATTATGGCAATACATGGTATCGACTAATTGTGCTCATTAACAGCCAGCTACTCCACTTATGCAAATCCTACATTTACTTTTGACTTCCTTTTGCTTTGATAGACGGTGTGTGATTAATAGATCAAACAATCCCAGCACAAATTGGAGAGAAGTGCTAATGACAACTGATGGTCATATCAAGGTTGTAGCCATTGAGAAGCTGTGCACGTTTCAGTAGGTTTCCCTAGACTCATGCACATGTGGCGGCACGAAGTGGATTCAGTCGGCTACACCATAAGAAAGAGCACATGCAGTGGGCAGGGAAAGCGCTGAGGGGACAATGGAGGAAGTTAATGGGCGGCAAAGGAGATGTACTCAGGCAAAACAAACCAACAAAGCCAAAAGAAACTGGGCCCAGGGGGGTCTGCGGAGACTGATGCATCAACCAAAAACCATGAATAGAGAGGCCCTAGACTGCCTGCTCAGATGTAGCCCATAGACAGCTCAGTCTCTATGTGGGTTCCCTACTAAGAGGAAAAGAGACAGACTCTGACAAGAACTCGGTAACCTGCTCCTTGATCACTTCTCCCTGGTGGGCAATCTAGCTGGCCCACAGAGGAGGATCCAAGCAGTCCTGATAGGACCTGATAGGCTAGGGTCAGAGAATAGGGGAGGAGGCTTTCCCCTATCAGTGTACTAGAGGAGAGGGATAGAGGAGGAAGAAGAAGGGATGGAGAGAATGGGAAGAGATGAGGGAGAGGGCTACAACTGAATACAAAGTGAATGAATGGTTAATAGGAAGAAGAAGAAGAAGAAGAAGAAGAAGAAGAAGAAGAAGAAGAAGAGGAGGAGAAGAAATTCTCAAACAGTAAACACATAACTATTTAAATCAGTTCTTATTTATTAAAAAAAAAAGAAGAAAGTATGAATTATACCCAACTTATCTAGGGGCAGTGAAGAAAATTTTGCTTATCTTTAATTATATTGAGATTTATTGACTTTTAAGACCATGGAGACATTCACCATATTGTAACACTCATAATTTCTTCTTTTTAAACATATTCTAGTTTGTTAGCTAGAACCTTAAATTGCTGTTTAAAGTATATAATTTAAAAGCATTTAAAAAACCAATTTCATATAGTTCTTTGTAATTGTGTATATTTATTCTATTTTAAAATATTCAAGGGACAACACATGATAGAGGGAATGTGGAGAAAGGGGAACCCCCCTCCATTGCTGGTGGGAATGTAAATTTATACAACCACTCTGGAAATCTACCTGGTGATTTATCAGACAATTAGGAACAGTGCTACCTCAAAATCCAGCTATACCATTCCTAGGCATATATCCAAAATATGTTCAAATATACAACAAGGACATTTGCTCAGTCATGTTTGTAGCAGCTTTATTCACGATAGCCAGAATCTGGACACAACCCAGATATTCCTCAATTGAGGAATGGATACAGAAATTGTGGTACATTTACATAATAGACATTGAAAGGGGGAAAAACAGGGAACAAGATAGGAGCCCACCACATAGGGCCTATGAAAGACTCTATGCAGCAAGGTATCAAAGCAGATGGTGAGACTCACAGGCAAATTTTGGGCAGAGTGCAGGGAATCGTATGGAAGACGGAGGAAATAGAAAGGCCTGGAGGGGACAGGAACTCCACAAGGAGAACAACAAGAGCCAAAATATCTGGGTCCAGGAGGGCCTGCAGAGACTGATATTCCAACCAAGGACCATGCATGGAGATAACCTAGAACCCCTGCACAGGTGTAGACCATGGCAGCTCGGTCTCCAAGTAGGTATCCTGATAAGGGGAACAGAGGTTTTCTCTGACATGAACTCAGGGGCTGGATTTTTTATCACCTCCCCCTGAGGGGGAGCAGCCTTACCAGGCCACAAAGGAAGAGCATGCAGCCAGTCCTGATGAGACCTGATAGGCTAGGGTCAGATGTAAGGGGAGGACTTTCCCTATCAGTGGACTGGGGGAGGGGTATGGGAGGAGAAGAGGGAGGGAGAGTGGGATTTGGAGGGGATGAGGGAGGGGGCTACAGCTGGGATACAAAGAAAATAAATTGTAATAAATAATAATTAAATAAAAAACATTCAGGCCAAAAACATTTCAAACCCACCAAAAGATGTTTTTGCCTTTCTTTCACTGATGTTTAGGTGTGCTTGTGCTGACGGGTTTGAAGGAGAAAACTGTGAAGTAAATATTGATGATTGTGAAGATAATGATTGTGAAAATAATTCTACATGTGTTGATGGAATTAACAACTACACATGCCTTTGCCCACCAGAATACACAGGTATGAAGAACAGGAAAGTTGTGTCATCAGTGTATCGCTTTGAAAGCATCATTACACTGTTATGTTTATTTAACAAGCGATGCTTATTCAATAACTGGTAGACTTAATCGTAGTAACAGAAATCCATAGAGATTGTTTTGTCCCATGAAATAAAAGATGCAGCTAGCTCAGTCCAACCCATGCATTCTTATAAAGCCATGATCTGTAGAATCAAAGAGGATGCTGTCATGCTGAAACTTTTGGACCCATGATTCAATGACATTTTCATTCAAACTACTTTCCCTTTACAGACTATTTTGCCAATGTATTTTTGTGCATTTCTTTACATAATCAAAAAAAAAATGACTCTGCCTTTGAGATAATGATGTCAATACTTTCTCCCCAGTAGTACCTCCAGTAAGTTCTGTCGTAAAATGGGATCTCTATCAGAAAGATGAGCTTTTTGGAAAGTCTTATGTGACATTTTTTTTAAGCAATTAAAGAATTAGTTTAGATAAGAACTGGTTGATAAACCTGACCAGACTATTCAAATTGCTATTTATTTCTTCATTTAGACCAATTTTATATAAAGTCAGCGTCAAGTTTCTGCCTTGTATATTTTGAAAGAATTCTGTTGGTTTGTGTGGCTATGCATAAGAAATGTCATAATTATTTTAACAAGTGTCATAGTGTCATAGTTTCAACTTTAACAAAGCATTCAAGGATGACAGAAAAAAGAGGATGCTGCTGTGGTATATCTAAAGAGAAGTTCAGAAGCTCAGAAGCTGTCATTGTTTCTGAAGCTGTCATTTTCATTTTACCTGATGTTTTTATTTGTTGTATTTATTTTAATATGATAATATATAGTTAATTATTTTGGATAGTGAAATAATAATGTTGGTAGCTAAGATTAATATCAAATACGATCATATCTATATAATTAACTTTCCCAGAGTTCTAAAGAAATAATCTTTGAAGTTTTTTATGAAAGATACAAAAATTTTCCTTATACTAAATGTCTTTTTCATAGGAAGGTATATTATGGGAAAGTTGAACATAGAGTAATGAGGTTCAGTTTTGACAACCTATATGTGCCTAGATGTTTCTAAAGTTGACTTTTCCATGGAGTCATACTAGTAGATATAGACACATGAATAAATAGGTAAGTACAAAAATAGATAAATAGATAAGTAAGTATATGACAGATAGATAGATGGGTAGATAAATCATACATACATTCGTATGTACACACACACACACAAAGATAGAAAATTAGATATATGGATACATACATAAATAGCTATCATGCTAGGAGTCAGAATTTGATCATTCTTCACTGTAATAAAATATAGTGAGTGTATTGTAATACACCTATGCCAGACAGACTAAGCTGTTACTCAGGTTTGCCTACCCACCTCTGTCACTGAATTACATGTCAGATTCTTCCATTAGCTGAAAGCCATAGATTTAAATCCTTTATAAAAAACTGGTAGACTGAGCTCTATTGGAATGGCTACTTATGTGTGTAAGAAGTTCAGCATTTAAACAATCTGTTTCTTAGTTATCCCTAGGACAGAGGGGTTTTCTACCTGTTGTTGTTCAGCTGATAGAATAGGCTTTTGAACCCACTTATTTTTGAGACTTCTATAAGCCCACTCCATTTGATTCCACCAGAGAAAATGGCCTCCCAGGCATTGTAAGATAATTAAAGCTCTCCATGTTGTTCTGGGCACAGAAACCAGGAAGTTACATACACTCTCTTCCTGGTGTAACTGAAGCTCGGGATCACATGTGTGTTAAGGTCCTTGTATGTCTTTCTATGATAATTTGCGTAAGGTGTCAACACATCCACGCCCTTTTGGAGCATGTCCTGCTGCATTCAATTTCCTAATTTTCATTCTGGTAATTTACAACAGTTTTTGAGTTTCCTTTTACCTGCTCTGCTTCAGTTCCCAAGGTCTTATATGCCCTCGTGCGGAATTCATTTCCGTGTTCCTTCCTCTGAGAGTGTGATGAAATCTCCCTTCTCCAACTCTGTCATATGTCATTATTTTTACTATATCATAATGATTCAAAGCTTAGCCAAACCAATTTTTGACAAAATGTGGCAAATTGTCAAAAGGTGTCAGCAAGGACCCTATCATGACTATCTGCCATAAACCATCTGGTTTTGTAAGAGCACCTAGACACCATTACTCTTTTTACTTGTAGCTATTACAAATATTACTTTACCTTAATTTGGGCAAAGTCTCAAGACAAATATTGAATTGGAGACTGTGCATGGCATAGAGCAGAGAGATACTAACTTTATTATTACATTGGACTGAGTCCCCTGGGTCATGAAGGATTTGACAGCTTGGCAACAGAGAAGACAGCTAAATGGGATGAATTCCTACGTCATCTCTTAACTGTAGAGTTCTGTGCACATCTGAAATGAGTGCAGTTACAGAATGTCAAACAACCATCTGCAGATTCTGAGATTGGTGGCATATAGGCGACCTTTGCTTACAGTGAAGCATAAGTCAGAATCAAGAATCCCGTGTCATGTTTAATCCATGTCTGCAGTTACAGAGGGATTTCCTAATAATATGACTCTGTTATTTTAAATCTAAGATGGAATCTGATTAATGAGCATGAGTTCAGAGAACAGAAACCCTTCTATACTCACAGAATAGAATAATGTTACCATTGTTTTAAAATCATCTAAGCTGTCAGTTGCTTTTTTTTCCTTTGAAAAAAATTTTTTTTGCTCTGTATTTCAAAGGCATACAATGAGAACATGAATTCTATTTGATAACAGCAAATAAGGCTTCACCAAGAAAGCTTGTAAATCACTGTGGTAACAATGCTTGCCTTTTACATCTATGTCGAGACTTAGAGTTATCAGTGGAGAAAATTCAGACCTAAAGAGAATCTGACAAGAAAATCAGCACATGACAAGGAGCCTGTGAATCTGAGCTAGAATTGCTTAAGATAAGTTGAATACATGAAATACATTCAGAAATGTATAGAGGCATAGTTAAACCCTGAGCAAGGTTTGAGTTTTTTTTTTCGTCCTTACAGCATGTAGTTAATGATTTATTCTCTGCCCTTTCCTGATAAAAATAATTGATAACATAAACTGTATGGGTCAATAGTGTTTTTCTGTTATCTAAACCTTATTGGATCCCACATACACTTTAATACTCAGATATGTTTTTCTCTACATACTAGGTCTACTTCTCTCCTAGCTGGAAGACTCCTCCTTGCTAGTAATGCTTAGGAATTTTTTAATTTAGTTCTTTGTGATTCTACATTAAAATCAGTATTTGAAGTGTGGGGAAATAAGGATTTAGTGATATTATTTTAAAAAATAATTTTGCATCCTTAATTTAGCTTCAGAGATTTTGGGACTTGATTTTTTTCGTTTTTTCCAATTTTAAAAAAATCATAATTGTTATATACTTTTTATAAATCAAAACATTTCTTATAGGAAAGTTTTCAAAGAATTGCTTAAGTTAGATGAACTCAAATTGTATAAACTGAACATTAAAAATATGGTTTGCTTACAGTATTGAAGCCCTGTGAATCTTTTCTTAGATAGTTGTATAATTGGAGCTGATCTGGGGAAAATTGTTTTGCAACAGTGGATATTGGTCTGGGGGATGTGTGTCTTCAATAAGCTTACCTACACAGGGTCACACAGAAGCAAAGACACTGGTCACATTTCAAGCTTTCCCATTAATTAGAATTATTCAGCACAATGGCAGTATCCTTATTAACTGGGTTTGTACATCCTCAGAATTTATCTTATGAAAAAATATAAAGACGTCTTTAACTTTCCCATTGTGTCTCTGGGCCCCTGCCCGGATGTTCACATTACATCTACTAGAGTAAATTGGCAGTATCAGTCACCCAGTTTGGATGCCAGTCTCTGGCTCACTGTGATGGCTTTTACTTTCGCTCTCCTTGCTCCGTGTTTGTGTCTTTAGCCGGCTGTAGGTGAGAAGTCTGAACCCAGCTCCAGTTTGCTTTCTCACCCCGGCTTTTCTGTCGTGAATGCTGCGCTTTGGCTTCATGTGTGCTACTGTTGCCTTGCAATGTAAAAAGTCTTTTGTCTTTTCTGTCTTTGTCGCTGCCAGCTGCTAATCTGAATGAGGTGGAAAAAGGTTAGTTGCTCTTTTTAAGTCTATTATGGTTTTCACTTTAGCTCTCTGTCATTTAAAACTACTGGATTCCTCAGGTGTTCTGGGTAAAAATGTTGACAAGAGACAAAGTCAGAGAGTGCTGTGTCAAATCATTCATGTAGATCCTTGATGTATGTATAGCTTCATGAAATACACTTGCTCAATTTGAAGAAAGCTGTGGTAGAACCCTGAGTGAGAAAAAATGGGTTTAAAAATAAGAACTTATATTATCTACTTGTTTATATGCTTTTACATTTTTAAAGATCATCATAGGAATATATTGTTTTTATAATGAAAAACTTTATATAATCTTTACATATAAATATGAAAACATTATATCTTTACTCTCATGTTCCGTGGAAAAATCTGAAAATGTGTATAGTAACTGAAACATTTTATACAATATGATTGGTGTTGAGGGTCGGTTTTTAGTGGCTTAGCTGGCATGTGTAAGACCTTGGTTCCAACCCCAGCACTGCAAAAATAGTAAAGGTAAAAATAAATGTTATATGTACATATAACATTTGTTTCTAATATACATAGATATTTGTTTGCAATATACATGTAAATAATGTGCTGATAATAATGTGTTTCCTATACTTATATACATAAACAGTATATTATATATGAAACATCTTACAACATAAGTATTAAAAAGCCTAAGCGATTTATTTATATGGTTACATTGTCGAATTGATGTTACTGAATTTAGTGAATTTGTTGAATTTAATTCTAAGCAGTTTTCTTAAGGCATTAGAAAGTTTATTGCATAGTCACTAACGTCATTGTAATCCACTGGGCTCCTAAACAAAGCCAGAACCAAGAAGGGGACATACTATTGTTAGATCATTAGCC